TTGACGCTGATTTAGAAGCAGACACCTATTTGACTCACTCATACAGAATCAGACACAGTATTTATATTGTCATTGTGTGTAACAGGAAGTCACAAAGTAGGACATTGCTTTGGCTCTCGGTGTCAGAAAGTAAAAATAGAATAAGGTGTGCAAAAACATAAAATAATCTACGTAATTTTTTTTTAAATTCTTACTATATACAGTGCAATAAAAAAAAAAAAAAAACACACACACACACACACACGCATTAACCATAACTTAAATTAAGACAATTGGTACCATTGCATATAAATTTGCACCAAATGACAGTTGACTGAAATTCAAGTCCAATTCAAGCTAAAACATTGTCCCTATTGCTACATTTGCAATCTTTATGCATTTCCTTAGTTCTTGCCCACCTCTCACCTCAGCTGCCCTGTTCAAACCTGTAGTAAAACTTCCTCTGAAACTATTCTTAAACACTTCACAAAAGGACACTTCAAAGGCTCCTGTCCTTTCACTCAAGGGCTAAAAGACACATTTGCGGTCGCCTTCGTTCAGTCATAGCTCTTCCTCTCTCGCTGCGTCTCCCTCTGCCCCCCTAAACCCTCACCCCGGGGGTCATCCCACCACAGATGGCTCTGTTCTGAGACATTAGTCAGATTGAAATCACAAGCAGGCTTCATAAATTCATATTCCGAGTCTATACGGCCTGGCCTTTTTGCATATAACTAATGCCTGTATCAAGCCGCTGTGCCCCGATGTCCTCCAAAATTACATTCTTTCATACGTGATTAAATCTGATTGCAGCACTGAGCGTTTCCATTGCGTTTGGCTGAAATTACAGTGTGTCGTTTTTTGATCTGATGATGGGGAAAAAGGTTCTGGGTGAAAGCGGAGATGGCATGAAATGTTGTTAGAGCCATTGGCCGTTTGATCTGACAAACATAAATGCTATAGCAGCAGTGGGTAGAGTGACTGTATGGAAGCCTATGCAGTGTTTTTCAACGTCACATTGTTTGATCAACAAGACAGACAAACAATCCACTATTCACACAAAGTTCACATAAATTGTTAGTGGTGAATAGATCTATGTAACACATTTAGTTTTTTGCATAGTATTAATGAACACATTCATCAAATGATCCAATGACCTGGCCTTATATGCATCTATTCAGCCATTGAATGTCAATGTTTTGCATAAAAATAGTATGGAAATAAAGTTGTTGTTGCCCACATCGGCGTAGACAAGGCAAATGTATTGACCTTTATTTTACCTGGAAAGTCAGGATGGCTGAGAGTCTGAATCTCATTTCCAGGGGAGTCAGATTGGAGGCTATTGTATGTTTTACTGGTGGGAAACTACAGCACAGTAGGAAGTCTATGCAGACACAGGTAGAACATGCAAACCTTTTTCTCCTACTGTTCCAGCACACCTGCTCTCAGAACTCGATAGAATCTACAGTGACAATACAACAAAGCTTTATCAAGCTGAGTAAATACTTTTATATAGTGTGGCGCATGTATCCTAATGAAGACTAGAAACATGTTAAAATAAATGCTGTTTACATCACCAGAGTGTCTCACACCTCTTTTCCTTTTTACATTTGTTCTGAGGCCGAACAGATGCAAAGAATGGCCGACCTTCAGACCACTGAGACTGCACTGAGCTACTGCCGCCCTCTGTGGCTTAAGCAGCCAAGGCAATGATTAGGGAGGAAAAAAATAGAAAAAAAGCTACCCTTAACTCACCACGAATGAATGCAGGAATCATGTTGAAAAATTTCTTTATTCATGTCTAGTTATTCTAAACATTTACAAAGGTGTAAAGTTCAAAAGAATATATTTGTCCAAATGACAAAAATGAATGGTCTATAAGTGCAGTTCTCGACTGCATACACACATGATTGCACACACTCACATCAACAATATTATTCATAAAGGAGCCCAAGACCATTCTAAATGGTTATAATATCCATATAATATATATAATATATGGTTATAATAAGTCTGCACATGTCATTCATCTGAAAACAAGTAAATACTGCAATCATGTGCAATGTGCAATACACCATTTCCAGTCACTTTATCTACTTAACCTGCCCTATGCATGTAACTGTGTGATATAAAGATAAAGATATATGTTGTTGGCTACTTTTAGAAATATCTATTTACATGTTTTGTTTGTATGGATGGATGTGTTTCTGCTGCTCCTGGACACCTGAATTTTTCCCAATGTCGAACAATAAAGTATCTATCTATCTATCTGTTGATATTGAAGCATTTACAGCTAGATAAGAAGCAGCTACTTATTTTGTATATTTTGTGTACTCCCTGTGTGCTCTTAAAACTGTCCTATATGCGCGCTGCAACATTGAAATTTCCCACTGCGGGACGATAAAGGATCTTATCTTATCTTAGGTCTTTACAATATTTGTCTTACATTTACAAGATTTACTTAACCAGTATTTGAAAGTCGAGCTACACTACCATTGTGAGCCGCAGCTTCTATATCTATAACGTGATCCGAGGTATTGTCCGCAGAGACGTTCGAGTCAGGTGCTACTGTATTATTCTGCCTGTGGCTTCTAAACACCCCTCTCCCTCCTCCTTCCCGCCCCCGTCCTCCCTCCCTCCCCCGCTCCCCCTGCTGCGTTCTCTCTGAGCGCCATAGGGCAGCAGTGTTCATCTGGCTGCTTCCCTCGACACCTCCATACATCCATGTTACAGTGACTCTATTAGGGTCCTCCCCACTGAGCCCTGCGCGTCCCGCCGTGAATTTCTCCTCTCTATATGTCACAATATTCATGTCGGCACCACCACTATTCCACCTGCAACATACAGACAGAACAAATGTGCTTTTCTTCTTGTTTGTTTTCGGTATCAGCGTGAGCTAATTAATTGTTGTCTGCGTTTTAAAAAGGTGATTTATAGATGTTTCTTTTGAGCTCCATTGTTTGGGGTTGTGTTGTTACTGTAATGGTTATTTGCTTTTTCCAACATTACGTAGCCGTATATACACTATGCTTTTATTGTTCTAAAAAGTGCATTGGTTGTTACATGTCCAAACACAATCCTATTTTGAAAATGCATTGATATACATATAATACTCATTTATATGTCATTCCAAAGTCTAGCAATGGTGAAGAGCAATTTGTTTTACTGTAGTTTGTTATGCGGTAATTGTTATGCAGAGATTTGAACACACATAGGAGAATACTCTGTCCATGAAGACAGAATCCTCGAGGTTTCTCACTTCAATCCCACTGGGTTTTCTTGTTTTAGTCGTTCCTTGCCAATGCAGCAGTGTGTAAGAACAGTGGTGATCTGGGACATTGTATTTATGGATATTTATTAACATTTATGGACATTGGCTATCCCGCTCCATATAGACCAGGGGTGCTCACACTTTTTCAGCATGCGAGCTACTTATAAAAGGATCAAGTCAAAATGATCTACCTACTACAAAAATGCAAATCATATATTTATTTAAAAAAATATTCTTTATATCTACAGTGTATGTTTATGTACATGCAAAACCGCATGAGCCAATATAGCACAACACAACACAATTACCTATGTACATTTTTTGTCATTACCCGAGTTTACTCTTATGACTTGCACTGAATTGAATCGGCCAGGGATGCATAGTCCGGAAAATTGGTGGCAACTCGCTGGCAAGTTTGTCGTGGTTTAGCTTTCCTGCACTGAGCGCGGTTGTTTGCGCATGTGCAGTCACCTAAGTGTCAGTAAAACATTACTGAGTAAAACACAGATGTCATTTGACTGTGGTGCCATGTCCATGTGCCATGCCTGTTTTTTTTAAATCCAAATATTTCCCCTCCTCCGTTTATAAAATAATGGGCATCCACACATCTGCTTTATCAGTCACATTCGTAACATTCCAAACATGTGCGTCTCTTACGTCCTGTCCTGCGTTGGGGAAAAACACAGAAGTGGGCGGAGCTTTGATGCAGACGCCGGTAACGGCACTTTTACAGTCATAGAAGACACTCAGAGTAAAGACGTATGTTTACAAGCACTGACCCCGTCCTCAGCCCTGGTTTAGTCCTGGTTTAGTCCTGGTTTGGTCCTGGTTTAGTCCTGGTTTAGTCCTGGTTTAGTCCTGGTTTGGTTATTTTCGAGCGTGAGTCCCCACGATCACTTTGCTGCTCTCTGATGTGGAGCGAGGATGTTCGCTGCTGCGAGCATCTCACAGCGAACAGTTTTTAAGGTGGTATGATCCATGCTTCAGTGATCAGAGGAATTTAGGGGGGTACTGTGGCGTGCGAGAACGCAAAACTCTGTTTATCTCTGTCTACACACAAATGCATTAACGGAGTTTTCAAAAATCTCCACTTTGCCCGGAGTTTTTTGTATATATTCGTTTAGAATGTGTAATTTTTTATTTATTTATGCGATCTACCAATACTATCTTTGCGATCGACTGGTAGATCGCGATCGACGTATTGAGCACCCCTGCTATAGACCAATGGCAGCAATGTGTTTGATAATTAAAAAAACATTAACGGCTTGGTTCTCTGATGTGTTGTTGGTGAATCGACAACTTTGTAAAGACTGCTCTTGTAATTTAGGGCTGTACACGAATACATTGGATTACATGCTTTTTGGAGCATTTTATTGTTAAATCTTAAAAATGTCATAAATATAATTACTACTTTTACACAATATTAAACAATTCTTCATTTTCCCATAATCCTCACAAGCAATTTTTTACCTCAATGAGTTTATAAGCAGTAAGCTAACAAGGCCTGCTTTAACTACAGGTCTTCACAGGACAAACACATGTAGCAGGGTGCTAATTAAGATGTATCACAATATATAAGATATTTACATTTTCATAACCTTATGCCACAATATTGATCAAAAAAGTGAAGTGAAATAGAAACATGTTAATTGACTTCCTGTCCAAAGAAGCTGAACTCATAAGAAACTTCGGCATAGTTGGCAAGGCAAGTTTATAGTTTGTATAGCACAGTTCAGATACAACTATTTTTAACCTGAATTTTAACATTCTCAGAATAGAAGCTTGTCTCACATTTTCAGGAAGACTGTTGTAGTTGCCTAAATCTGCAACGCTACCTCCTCATGTTCAGTCCTGACTCTGGGCACCAGCAATAGGCCAGTCCATGTGGTCCTTAGAGTCCCAGCAGGAGGCCAGTCCATGTGGTCCTTAGAGTCGCAGCAGGAGGCCAGTCCCTGTGCTCCTCAGAGTTTCATATGTCACAGAGGTTTTGTACGTTTCAGCCGATTTGAATGTGGACTCATGTGAAATTTCCAAGTGTTTCGGTTTTGTTTGTTTATATTGAAGCCGACCTGGAGTCAGAGTTGTATTGATAACAAGCGACAGAGAAACGGCAGCGATAAGTGCTGTGAAACAGATATTTCTGAGCACTGGAGCCTTAAAAGCTGCTCTGCTCTTACACGGTTATTGTCATTGCTTTAGGGTCATGTTCTGCCTCAAAATGAAGACACATGTTGTCGGACTCTGTTCCCCAAATCCTTTTATTTTTTCATCAACAGCTTCATCTGGATCATTACAGAATCAAATATTATCTTCGGAGGCTACACCATCTGGACCGAAGGGCCGTGTCCCAGCCAATGTATAGTAATAACACTGTGTCCCCCATTGCATTGTGGGATTCCATTACCCCGGGAGCTGCTGGGGTGATGTTGATTTTGTGGATTCAATAAGGAGCGGTATTTGATTCCTCAATGTAGATAATCCATTGGATTGGATGCTCTGTCACAAACTGGGACACATTTGGAATAACTTTATGTCTTCGACTTCTCGGACAAGACTTTTCTGAGAGCACAAGACAATACACATTCAAAAAACACATTCATTTTTGTCTATTTTCTTTTATTTACAATACTTAGGGTTAAAATACATTTTAGTCCAGAAATATTATATCCTCATTTACATGTATTTATAGAATGTACATTGCAAAAGTAGCAACAACACATTTAATGGAAAAGGTGCAGTTTGATGTTGAACCCTTTTAATTCAATTAGTTCACATGAAGAAGAAGAAGGTCCCACAGTGGGGAGAGTCGGCCAGCAAGGTCTAGTTGATGCTTGATAAGGCCTGTTAGTGACACACACTGAGATTATCTTGTGTAGATTGTATTATTAGACAAGGAAAACAAAATTAAAAACCCAACCATATTATATATATGCGTTTTTCCCTAGTGTCTGACCACTGCAGCACCATCTCTTTGGAATGAATGAATGAATATTAAGTCTCAGCGGTGACTCTCATCTGGTCAAGCGTCAGCGACATCTTCTTTGTAATGCAATGGCAGCGATGAGAGAGATAGGAAGCGTATGAGTCTCACATTGAGGGCACGGGGCAGCGTGCTCTGCCTCTGAGCCGTTCCGGACAAAAGATGCGCTTTTTTCTGCAATGCTGGTAAAAACTAATGAAGAAATACGTTGCTTTGCAGAGGTGAATGAGACAAACAAATAGCCATGCATAATTACGCGGGTCTGCACAGAGTTACCTTCAGACTCAAAAGGCCAATGTCTACAACTGAGCCACTGTCGCTTCAGAAGCAATGACCTATCATTTAATTAAATTACACAATGGTATTGTTTTCTCTATTATCCAAAACGATAAGAGCGTTGAAAAATGTATTGTGATCATCAGAAATATGCCAAGACAACTCTGTCACCAATACAATTTCAAATAGCTAATTTATTGCTTCAGAAAATGTTTGTTATAAATGATCATATGTAAAGCACAGAATGCAGAAACCATCCATCCATCCATTTTCTTCCCCTAATCCATTTCTGGGACGTTGGGGTGGCCGTCAGAAGCTGCACCAGTACACGAGCACAATGCAGAAACAAAATCTTTAAATAATATTATAAAAACATGGTCACCTGCTCCATGATGTCTGCTGTCGTTATGTCCCTGGGCAAGGACACTTACCCTCACATTGCCTGAAGCCCGCTGAAAGATCAAAGGCACGTCTTCAATGACGGAGAAGCCATCATCCTGTGGACCCACACCTGCAGGAGGATCGCGAGGATGGTGCATGGGGGGAGGGGAAGACTTGGTTAGCAGCTCTGATTGCCACCAGGGAACCAGAGATGGAAGAATAAGGGGCTGACAATGAAGACATGACATAAAAAAATAAAAAAATAGATTTTTATTTATATGCTACCTGAAAGCAAAAAAAAGATCAGCAGTGCATTCGGAGCGCACTACCGCCAACCAAATGGATCATCTCCAATATTCAAAAAGGGTCTTATTACAACACTTTAGACATGTTAAGAAGACAGACACACACACATACCACACCAACACACACACACACACACAACTGAGTCTAAAACCACGTACAATTCTGAGCTAATGGGATGGAGAAAAGCGTAGTCAGCAGTTGTTCGTTGGGCAGAGATAACTTTATCTTTCAGGGCCAGAGTGTTTCAGATGTCACTCAGCAGCTCCATGTTCTGCCTGCCAAGAAAGCTTCAAGAACAACTTCCAAACAAAGGTCATTGTGTCATCAGGGATATTTCTGTCCTAGTTTTTATCAAGGTTTTTATGTTGAATGAGATGTACCTAGATAACTATCAAAAAAAGACAATGGACTTAAAGCTCTTTAGGGTACCTACTTTATTAACAGAAGAGTAAATATTGTGAAGTAAATCAAGTCACACATACTGAATTCATTTGATGAGATTATGAGACCTGATTGGCATCTCTTTGTAACATTTTCTGTCTTCAAACTGTTTTGAAGGAGAAGTTGATGTGTCTTTCAATTGTTATTAGTTGAATAAGGGTAGCTTCTTTGATCTGTATTCTTTTCTCCAGTATGAGCCAAGGAACCAATCAATTTGATACAGAGATGCTCTGGGCTTGCTGAAATTATCACAATTGAAGACTTTTCAAATGGTCTCATTAGGAGGTAACTGGACTTAAAGAAATCATTCGCATTAATATGTTTTTTTAGGCTTATGCATTAACATGTTTAATATTGATCTTGGACAATAAATGTGTTTATTACTCGGCTCCTCACGAAGCAGGGAGAACGCTCGATGATTTGAATGTAATTTCAAACGCTTACCGATCATTTTCTTAATAACGGGACTCTCAAAACATTGATGACGCTGCCTTTGGCAACGCACTCTTGAGCTTGGTTAAAAATTCAGATGTGTGATTATCCACAAGTAGTTCGGCACTTCATCGCTATCGGAGCTAGCCACGATCAATAAACACAAATTACCGATCAATACAACACATTTAAATGTTATCGGAGAAATACATTATACATTACATTCTTACCACCATGTACGGAGGTTTTCAGAAGGATCTGTTGAGGTTTCTCATGACAAAAATACGTTTTAATGCAAGAAAAGTGATTGCGATGAACGGAAGTACGTTCCAGGACATTTTAGGAACATTTGCAGAGGATCAAATTATGGATTTAGGTTAAGTTATGTTAGCAGTAATCAAGGCGGGAGAAGATGAGGGCGTTGGACGACTTTATAGAGATCGGGAGGAGTGAGAATGTTTTTAATCTTAGAGATGGTGCGGAGATGAAAGGAGCAGGTTTGGGTGGTTTTATTGACGTGGGAGCGGAAGGTGAGGTGAGAATCAAAAATGACACAGAGGTTACGGCGGAGGGAGTGATACATCTGAGTTACTCATAGCATACTCCAGATACTTACGAAGAGGATGACAAACCATTCAGCATGCATTCCGAACATATTTCATTCAGTTTTTCTCCTTCCTCCAACCTTAAACCGACCAAAAAACATGCAATGTCCCTCTCCAGACAGGCGTTGCAGATTTGCAACACAACTAGATAAGAGTTCATCAAGACCTTTAATTTGTTATATAGAACAAATTTTCACGCAAAATGCCACTAACTCCCCCTGGTTCCAAGCCGTTCGATATGCCCTATGAATGGAGATATGCTAGAGTAGACATTCAGGTCAATATCCTCAATTAAATAAATGTATAATCTTGCATCATTTAGTGCAAAATACATCTGAGTTATCTCAGGGATTAAAGAGTTCCGTCTAGGTGACGGATTTCCGTCAAATGAAATTGGTCTGGAAAAAAAAAAAAAAATATATATATATATATATATATATATATAATGATAATAATACACACAATGAAATGATTGATTATAAAAATAATATATAGTAATACATATACGTGTGAATCTGTTATATATATATATCGATGTATAATAATAATTTGAATATAATTGTATTTATATGTATATAGAAATATTAAGTAATATAATGACGAGTGGGCCTTGAACGTGCCGTGGCCACATGAGCGCTCCGCAAATGAATCAAGGCAATGGGACGTAGCTGAGCTCACGCGCAAATGAAGACGCGATGAAGTTAGCATTGGTAACACGGAGGTGAAAGTTTCTGGAAACTGCACGGAGCTTTTGAAAAGGAGAAGAGGAGGAAAATTGAATCTCGAACGGAGCGATAACAGCAGCAGATCCGCGGACTGGTAAGCTGGGCGCGTAATAGAGGAAAGGTAATTAACGTTTACCAAACGCAATGCTATTTTACTTAACGGAATGTACAAAACGGACTTTGCTGCAACTGGGAATGGGGACAAACATGTCTTGGTGAGCTTTTGATATTGTCTTGTTTGCGATCTTCTTGCAAAACTCAGCGTGATGTAAAAGAGCCAATCAATGAGTCATGGTGCGAAAAGATGAGAGTGGCCGGTGCTTGTGCGTACTTTGCCATAAAAAATTGCATATATGGGAACAGGGCTGGACTGGCCATCGGGCGTACCGGGCAATGCCAGAAGGGCCGATGCCCATATTTGGGCCGGTCTGTTTGCCTCATACAAAAAAGATGTTTGTGAAAAGTGTAAATCCGTTGAGAACTGTTCGAGGGGGCGCGCGTATCCGCGGGGCACCTGCTGTATGTACTCGAACGGGATTCCACCACCTCAGCGGCCGCAGTGTTCCCGCATCCAGTTGTGAAAAAATTAAACAGATTTAGAGCCAGCCAATGGCTGACATTATGCATTTCAGACTTTTTTTGACCAATTCTCATCCCTGTAACAAACAACAGTGTTGTCTGTGTCCACCTCCCTCACTCTGAGACATGTTTATTACTCTCTTGTAATGTAGACTATTGCACTTTATTTTTTTGTTGAAACTGTAGACATCCTGATCCTCTACAGTATGCTTCCACATACTGTATAAACCAGGGGTCGGCAACCTTTAGTGCTCCTCCAGTGGCTCCTGGAGCCTTTTCAAAAATGTCTGAAAATGGAGTGGGGAGGGCTATATTTTATTCCTAGTTTGAATGTGGTTTCTGTAGGAGGAAAAACATTCCTAACGTATTTCAATGCTGTAAAAATGTGTATAAGTAATATTCAATTTCAACATTTCTGTCAACGTAGTGAGTCATATCCTGTGGCGCGGCCCCGCGGCAGACAGCCGCTGCTGTAAACAAACCGGCGTGTGCGCACGGATCCCAAAGATAAAAAGAGAACGAGTCGATAATAAGACTGGACTAAGAACAAGACTGAACATTTGCTTTCAGTCAATGAGGAAGGACTGCTTCATGTTTGCGATGTAATAGGAAGTTTTGTTGCAACACGAGGAACAATGAAGCACTAAATACCGTTCACAGGGATTACGTGAAGGATTCTTTCATACAAAATCCGGAGCACCTTTTTCAGACTTCAAAAACCTCCGCAAAGACTGTGAAAGAAAAGGCCATTAAGGACATTCAGCTCCAGAAAACTTCAGCCTGTGACGTAATCGATATGAGTGGACAGTGCAGGTGTGTGACCTTTGAGCCAAAAACCAGATTTATTTACTGTATTTCTACAGTTGCATGAAGGCAAAAAAATGGAAGTCAAAGTTAAAGCAGAGTCATCACGTGGTGCGTCATTCTCTCCAGGACACGCTGCAGTGAAAACACACATTTGACAATCATGAATGCTAATCATGTATTTGTAGCCTTTACTTGGTCATTTAGATAATAGGCTAATGTAGCTACATTGTGTAACCTTCATATAAGCTTTATACAAGGCTGTTATTTTTTTGCGGCTCCAGACAGATGTTTTTAGTATTTTTTGTCAAATATGGCTCTTTGAACCTTTTGAGTTGCCGATCCCTGGTATATACAAACTGTAAAAAACGTGACAAAAACATGCCTGGGCCGGTAAGAAGGAAAAAATGCCCGGGCCGTTTTTATGTCCCAGTCCAGCCCTGTATGGGAGTAATGAGAAAAAAGTTTTGATTCGCCACCAGCTCAAAACTGCGCACAAGGCAGCTGTTTGTGCACTTTCCCACACTTCATCTTTACCTGGTACATCAGCAACAACTGACACTAGGCTTGCTCTGGCAGACCGTGTCTGTGGCTTTATCGCAGAAAATAACGTTCAGAATATCACTACCGCTGGTAGATTTATTTAAATCATTTGCAGTTGATCGAAGTGCACTGTGCACTCAAACTTGATAGGGAAACCTTTTTCTTAAATATTGACGTGTCCACAAACAAATGTGGACAGAATTTTATCGTCCTTTTGCAATATTTTGACGAGGACAGAGCCAAAGTGTTGACGCTCCATATCGCCTCAAGTAAAGCTACTCTCACTAATATTCTGTAAAAAAGTTGACTCGTTGCTTTATCCACTTATATTTCATATCAAAATACACTGTATATCTTTGAAGAATTCATTTGAGCTGTATTCAATATACAATCTATTATACAATAATATATTGTAATTAAAAATATAACTTGGTCCTGCATATTACTGTGATTTACATGTGATAAATTTCCATGCAAAAATTTTCAGTCAAATCTTTTTTTTTTGCTTTAACCCCTGAGTTATCTGTTAGTATTAGATAGCAATATGGCCTACGTGCAGGACTCTACAAGGACTCCATGTTATGACTATGATTTGACTGTCTCTTTGTGACACGTATGTCTTTCGATGTGTGACGTGACAATGACTATATAAACTGTGTACTGCCTTTATTCTGTCTGAGAGAAAGAAACAGAGTAAACCAGTGGAACTTGAGAGAAACTTAAATAAACTTCCAGAGTTTGGCACACCACGATCCGTCTCTGTCTGCTTAAATCCTAACAGATTTGGTGGAGAATGCGCGGCTCGGTTTGTGCCATTCTCTGGATTGTTTTGAGGGAATTTCCTCTGTTTCTTTTTTTCGGCGTGTGGGAGCAACAGCACGTTATCTGGAAGGGGAGAAATCCCAGTGGACGCTGAAAGGGCTCGCTTTTGGATGGGCTTGCTCTTGCTCCCTCACTTTCTCTGTTTTGTGTTTAAATTGAATTTTTCGACGCGGAAAAGATGTTGGTCGACCTCTCGAACAGTCCGGACAAAGAAAATAAGGTAAGCAGACACCTTTTTTAATATATAAAGTCTGCATAATTGGATACTAGCTAAATTTTGAGCTGTCCCGGAGGTCTGTCCAAATCTCTCTAAATCAAATTTTCTTTGTTATGTCTTTGTCATGTCTTATGTTGTAGAAAACAGGTTAGCTGTGTGGGTAACCAGTCCCTATAGGAAAAAGGAACCCCTGATGTATCGGGGTCCCTGCCTTTGAAGTAGTCAGGGCAGAGAGAAAAAGGAACCCCTGACGTATCGGGGTCCCTGTCCTTTGAAGTAGTCAGGACAGAGAGAAAAAGGAACCCCTGACGTATCGGGGTCCCTGTCCTTTGAAGTAGTCAGGACAGAGAGAAAAAGGAACCCCTGACGTATCGGGGTCCCTGCCTTTGGAGTAGCCGGGGCAGAGAATAGAGAATAGAAAATAGTTAGTGAAACCATGGTGTAAAATTTAAAGTTATAATAAAAAGGGAAACGTTAAACACTAAAGAGTGCCTTTTGTTACTAGTGTGGAAAGTGGCCACTTCTAGACTTGGATGACAAAAGTATAAACAACATCAGTTATATTTGCTTTAAAAAGTAATCTTGAAAGTTCTTCTTCTTTCTGTTTTGGCATTTTTGCTAAAACACTACTTTCTGCCTGTGTGCGCAGCTCTATCTGCTGCCGTTGTCAGGGAAACGGCCCCCTCCTTCGCTGCTCTGGCTCTGAATCAGAACAAAGCTACTGCTTTAGGATTTTGGCTTTTCATTGTAGTTATTCCGTTAAATTTGCGAAATTTGCCATTTGAACATTGTGTTATGACACAGTTAAACGTTTTTAAACACCATTAGTGAATAAGTTTTGAATATTATATGTTTTTTGAAACCCAAATATTAGTGCTAAAGCTTTGCTTTTCTTTTTAAATATGCTGCTTATTTTTTGAGTCCATTATTGTATCTGATATTTCATAGCTGTTAGTGAGAATTTTTTCATGTATTTTTTATTTTAGTTACAAAAGCCGTTTTTCAAACATTTAAATTAGAATCTGTGTTAAAAGTGATTATTGATTATAGACTTCGTCTAAAAAAGAAAGAGGGAATTAGGCTGTAAAAGTATTATTAAGTTAAACTCTACCCAATTCACCTTGCAAGTGGTGACTTTTGTTTTTGTTTTGACTACACGCCTGACCTTCCTCCTGCTGCAGATGCCACAGCACAGGAGCCTGGTCTAAAATGTGCTCCAATTCATACAGTATTGACTTCATTTAAAATGCTGCAATTATTTTAAATTAGTAGAATAGATGCTGAGATAAATAAGTGTAAAAGGGAAAGTCCATAAAGTGAAACCCAAGGACGCATAGATAATTAAACACAGTACAAAAGTACACATATTTTAAAGTTTAAGAAGGTTCAAGAGATTTGAGTCTTGTTTTTTATTAAGAGAGTGTTTCTGGTCTTAAAATGTCATCATTAGTAAGATAATAAGTAATCTTTTATTTACATAGCGCTTGGAAAAGCCAAGAGCGCTCCAAAATTGTTTTGACTTTAGAGAGAAAAACAATCTCATTCGCATACTGATATCTGTTGTTTTTTTAAATTGGCCGTCTCAAGGATTGTTTTTCAGACTCTGCCTCACTGTACGAGAGGTCACTGCTGGACACTGGACACCAAAGCCCACCCAGCCACAGGTCACAGATCAAAGAGCAAAGGGAAATGCCACCTCCTTGCCCCTCCCCACGCCACTGCAGAGCTGAGTGGGTGTGAGAGAGACCGGGGCCATGAACGAGAGGTATCTGGAGACGTGATGGGTGGAGCATCAGGTAGAGACCTAGAGGCAGTTGAAAGTGTGTCCAGTTGGTTTGCATCACCACAGTGTGACCTTTGACACCTGCAGGTGGTTCGAGGAGTCTGGAGAGACAACCCCAAAATTCACACCCTATTCACATACACACACACACATACACACATTCATACACTCACACATTCACATTTACATATAGATACATGAAAAAGCAGAACATGAGAAAAAAGCATTTTAAAAGTTTACTCCAATGTAAACACATATTTTTAATTGTCTATCACTTGAATCTTTAGTTGAATCAGTATTTTTTGAGACCAGAAATGTTCATTTGAATTCTATATTGTCATGGACTTAATTGACGTCTGTCCTGACACTTTTGATTTGTTGATTTTGTACTGTGTGAGGTAATTACATTGATTAGAATTAGATCTGATAAAAACACAAATTAGAGAAGTAAACTGAATCATTGCGCTTGCTTTTGTCTGAGGGACAGAAGCAACAGCATGAATAGAAATCGTGTTAAAGTAGAATCAAAGTGATTTAACCATAGAGAGTAACTACTGCATTACAAGCTGTGTACAGGAACTGAGACACTGCACCATTGACCAGAAGTGCATCGCAAATGACCTGATGTGCTTCAAGTGAAAAGACTGTATCTGGAGATCCTGATGTGCATCTGGAGAGACCAAAACCATGGCTTGGACCCTACTGATGTCCAAGATGACATCTCTCTATGACCTGACCTGATGACGACTGAGACTCACCCTCAGGGGACCCTGAGGACCTGAGGATCTGAGGATCTGAGAGAGAAAAACTGGGGAGTGATGTTTATATTATTGAAATCATACATTGATGAGTGCTAAATGAGACAGATACTCATGATTCTTTCTTTTGTTTTTGTTTGTCCCTAGCTTCTGGACATCTGATGATCTATTGGACACAGCCATTTGCAGAACAAGAACCAGCCAATGAAAAACCATCTATTGCCGATGCTATTGCTACAACCAGAACCTGTGACAAATGCAATATACATGTTAAGTATTCAGACATCTGACAGACAAAAATGTTTTAAAATGATAAAGTATGAGTATTGTAGCGTTTTAGTAGATGTTAAAAGTGACAGAAGTCACAAATTAGGAATATGCCTTGACTTAAGCTGCAACCGAGCTTTAGAGTCACAATAGTGTAGAAATAGAATTAGATAAATGCATCAACCATAGATGCTTTCAAAAATAGAGATTATTTGTAGCCAGTGTTAATATCAAATGGTAAAGGGACCATTCCACAAACCTTTGCTTCAAAAGTAGATAAAGTTACTTACAGTTTTATGTACAGTTTTATTAGATACTTGTCAAATTCACTTGTGTTCAAACACCTGTGAATGTTGACAATACAAAAAGTTCATATGAGTGTAGCCTAGATTAATGCCTAGATCAAAGAGATAGATTAGAACCAACAGAGATTCAAAAGCATTTTGATGTATTTGGGTATAGCCCACTGTCGATTCATCAGAACAGATTAGAGAATCAAACACCATTGTAGAATAACTGACCCCAACCCCAAACCTGCTAAAATAGATTAGAATAGATTAGAATAGTTAGTCTAAGATTGAAAAGTGAAAATAATACAGTGAAATAAGTGAAGTGTAAACAATTAGCATTAGAATAAAAGTATAGAGTAATAAAAGTGAAATTAGCTTCTAATTTGAGACTCAGCTCGTTTTTGTCTGTGTTTTGACTGAATCTGCTGAGTTCTTGTGTGTCCAATAGTGTTTGTTTGTTTTTATTTTTGATTTATTTTTGTTTGTTTATTTTTTCCCAGGATAGAGGATAAAATCCACTGATATTGATTTGATGATTATGAGTGTAATGCATACATTTTCTTTGTTTTTAATAATTTTTTTAAAGTTTTTTTTTTTAGATTTTTTTTTTTTCTTTTTCCACTTTATTGATTGATTGATTTGAGTGATCACATGTGATTATGTGATCAAAGGGGAGGGTGTTAGTATTAGATAGCAATATGGCCTACGTGCAGGACTGTACAAGGACTCTACAAGGACTCCATGTTATGACTATGATTTGACTGTCTCTTTGTGACACGTATGTCTTTCGATGTGTGACGTGACAATGACTATATAAACTGTGTACTGCCTTTATTCTGTCTGGGAGAAAGAAACAGAGTAAACCAGTGGAACTTGAGAGCAACTTAAATAAACTTCCAGAGTTTGGCACACCACGATCCGTCTCTGTCTGCTAAATCCTGACATATCCAATATCATACTCATCGTTCTTGCGAAGAGAGTGACAAACCATCAACATGCATTCCGAACATAATTTTCATTCCGTTTGCACCTTAGACTGTATATATATGCACAGAGAGGACTGTTTCCTCATCTCGTCACAGTGCACGCAGCGCGCGCGTCAGTGCTGCTTCCTGGATACAAGGGCGAATAAACATAGTAGTTTAAAGTCCTGTAGATTTTAAATTAGGTTTTTATTTCGAGTATAGCTTTGTATTTCATTTATAACCATTCAATATAGCTAACGGTGAGTAAGATGTGTTTTCTATTTAACTGTCTTTTCGGGCTGTCCTTTCGTAAAGAAACGGCTAGCTAGGTTAGCTAGCTCTGGTTATCTGTGTTTATTACGCATGCTACAAGATGAGTGGCTCTGGTCCGAAGTCCGTGTTCTCTTTACATTTGTACATTTGTATATGATTTTGTAGCGTTTCTGGTTCAACGTTAGCTATCTGGTGACGTAAATACTAGCTGTCATTCTCCGATACTGTTGTGCTGTTAAAGTTGGGGTACAAAACAAGCCGCTGACAAAAATATTAGAAAATCCATGTAATCCATCGCCCCTAAAACTGTTCTAGCTTAAGTTGTCACGTGCATGTTTTTGGTCTCTGTCACATAGGTTAGTTATTTATTTCAGTGTCTGTTAGAAAGAGGACCACTCTCAGCCTAAAGCGTCAAAAAGTTACTCTTATGGTTCTTTACATGCATTTACATATGAACTGTAAATGCATCCCTTTAGCCATTTCAAACAGCCTCGTGTGTGGTAGTTTAATCCTACACACATTTGACATTAAGCTGTTGTGTCCGTGCAGATGATTTTCATGACTTTCTGTGAACTATGCAAAACAATAACATCTCCATGGAGATGAGGAGTGTGCTTTTAATAGTTGGATGTGTTGTAATCCTATGCACAATACAAAACATGATCAAATATATCATTTATTTTCCATTTACATGACTAGAAAATACGGAATGCAAGTTTGAAAAGGGGTAGTTGACAACCAGAGTTTGTTATTGTGAATGAACTAAGTGACACATATTTGTGACTGGTATGAACTTGTTTTAACAATGTTTCTTATCGCATTATCAAAGTGCCATGTTGCGCAGGACTGACTGTAGTGTTTCAAGGACTGACTATAGTGTTGTTCTCTTTCATTAATATGGAGGCGTTGTTTCTCTTTCTCTGGAATCGGGCGGGCCTGCTTATGCCCTATTGGTCATAGTACTGCAGTGTTGTGTGCAAAACCCACTGTTTGCATGTCTATGGTGACGATGAGGACCGCCTACCTTAAAGCAACAGCGTATAGTTTTTCCCAATTCTTGAGTAAAATGTTTCTTCAGAGACCTACAACATTTAGAACACTCATGAGTTGGCTGAAATAATTACCCAAAATAAATTTCACCAAAGAAATTGGCTACACTGATAACAGGCTCATGTTGCTTTTTGATTGGATAATCTTCCTACGAATAGTTAGCGTGCATGTGCATTGTAGATTGCAGATGCATTGTGCAAAATAAAGAATAAATCGCCATGGGCCCAAGGCTAAGTATGACATGTACATGTTTATTGCGTGTGTGGAATTGGACACAGATAAATGAGACTTAATTAAAAAAGTTAATTATAATAGTTTGTGACAATATCTCACAAGATGTTTGCCACAATATTGTGGACGCTACAAATGGGAACTTAGCATGTGATCTGTCTAGTTTCTATTTACCTGTTTGTGTGTGTTTTTTCTTTGCCTTTTGGGGTTAAAAGGGTTAAGCTTTTTTCCACTGGATGCACATTTTGAATGCATGAATGTGAAAGCAAAGTTAAACAAAAAGGTTTCAGTCAAAACATTATTTTGAGCTAATGGCCACAAAATCAGAAATACATTTGAGTTGTGAGATTCTTTTTTGAAATCCAGCTAGTTTGATTCACTGGGAAGTTGCTGCATTTCTTAGTCATATTTGTTGTAATTTCAGCATTTAATTATTTTTAAATTCCATGACATTTAGTGTGTTTTATTCTCAATTTTGTGGAACTAATATTCCACCTCATTTAATCTCATTCCACCCCTATTCAATGCATTTCTTCAATTATTTTATTTGCAGCTTTTGATCCTATCCGGTCCTACATTAAAATGGCTGATCTGGAAGCGGACGATGCTGGTTTCATGGAATTCACTTCGTTGTCAAGTCGCCTGGACTCCTTTCGTGGGTCTCATTTGGAAGAGAAGGTTCCATCGACGAGACTTGCACGAGCTGGTTTCTTCTTCACAGGTCACGGCGAACAGGTTCAATGCTTCAGCTGCAGGAAAATCATAGACAACTGGAGCAGCGGGGACACACCTGTGGAGAAACATCGCTTGGTACGATCACATACAGTGAAAGAACGGATGGTTCAATTAGGAAATAGAACACGTTTGTTGTTTTTTTACAATAATGACTAAACATGAGTTATGGCTGTATGTATCTACTTACAAGCACTACTGTAGCCAAATGTCTGATATTTAGGCCTTTTACCTGCCAAGTAGGAGAAAAATATCCTAGATTAGGGTTGAAAAGGATCTAAATGAACCAGGGTGATTAGATTAGGAAAAGTCATTAAATTCAATTTTTAATTGTAGGATTACTATTGCAACAACACATCACCATTAGGGTAAAACTAACCAGTGTCACAACGGATATCATAAATCAGCCTGGAACCTTTTTTAGGGTATTTTTTATCTATCTATAATTACTATGGCAGGTAATGTTGCCCAGGGGATAGCGCAAGGGTTTTAAAACTTAAAAGGACTATTTCATTTGTCTATCGCATTATTTAAAACTGTATTTTAACAAAATCTTGTTTTTTGGGGCAGGCCTCACCAACATGCAGATTCATTGACTGCATCTATCCCAAAAGTTCCCATCAGGCCAATGGAGATTACAACGAGGAAGCCGAAGCGCTCGAGTATCGTCTGAGAACAGGGGCGGTGATGGATGAGACCACTTACCCTATAGTGCCCCACATGAGGAGCGAAGAGGCCCGTCTCCAGACCTTCACAGACTGGCCCTCTGCCTCTCCGGTGAAGCCCTCTGATCTTGCGCAAGCAGGCCTGTACTACCTAGGGGAGAGTGATCACGTCCAGTGCTTTTGCTGCAATGGCAATTTGGCGCGTTGGGCGGCTGGAGACACTGCATGGGGAGAGCATGAAAAGCATTTCCCAAACTGCTTCTTCGTCCTGGGGCATGACGTTGGCAACATCCCACTCCAGGGTGGTTCTCAGGAGCAGGACGGAGGCAGAGGACCCCACATGGCCACGTTTGAGCAGAGGCTGGAGAGCTTTCAGGGCACCAGTCATCCTATCAGTCCTGAACGTCTGGCCCAGGCTGGCTTCTACAGCACAGGTATGACATGGGTAGTGGACCAGGACAGCTGTGGGATGAATAATAAGTTTAATCAATAAAAGGAAAATATGCATAATTAAATTATGAATGAGTAAGACTCAGTTAAACAATTATTGGATCAGTGAAACTAATTAAAGGCTCTCCTCATGAATATAGTTATAAAATGCCCTTGTAATTCACTGACTAACTTACTGAACTTTTTGTTCCTAACTTTTTAATTATTTTGAATTCAGGTGCACCTGTACTGCTTTTGGCACATCACACACATTTTACATATTTCTATTTTTCTGCTCCAATTTGTTTACGGTAATCTGTTATTACACGATCACACAACACACACAAACTATATATTTGTTCACTACACTAAAGAAAATGTCTGAGGAAAGGGTTTTATTAGCCTCTCTTAGCACAAATTCCCAAGGTGTTCCCAGGCCACCTGAGAGACTTATAATATGTGACACTGGTTAAGCAGACTTGTGATGAGATGAAAGCGCATTAAGTGGTATTTTTATGCATACATTTTGTGAATTCAACTCATTCTTGAACCAGAAAATGAATATCTATAATCCCACCAAATTGTCACAAACTAGGGGCTTAGTGACTAGATGATATTTCTGGGTTAAAAGACATGTTTGTGAATGTTTTGCCTGCCAATTACTATGTTTGTATAATGTATGATGTCTCTTCTAGGCACAGGAGACAGAGTGCTTTGTTTTTCCTGTAAAGGAGGTCTGAAAGGATGGCAGCCGGAAGAAGACCCTTGGGTAGAACATGCCAAACACTTCCCAGGGTATATAACAAATCTAATATTGAGTACCTATGTATACATTTTTTAATTTGTGTATTTATTTCATTAAACATTTCATTTTCATGTAGATGCAGCTTCTTGTTGTCAGAAAAGGGCCAAGAATTTATAAATAACATTCAATTACAAAGTTCAGCTGTAAGTCCATAATATCGACTTTTCAGTATTAATTTTGGTTGACATTGTTTGTATATTTATTTTATTACATGCTGTTTTTTCTCAGGCAAATGTTGAAGTCAGACATGAGAATGGATTTTCAAAAGATAATGGCGGTAAATTTTACTTTTAATTGATCAACCTATTAAACAAAGGCAAATCCATAGAAACTAAACTTTTTTTCGTTTACAGCTGACTGCTTAAACAAACCCTCAGATAATTCCTCAGAAAAAGGTAGCGTGAATCTCTTCAATCTATTAATGTTTCTGTTACATTGTTATTTTGTTTTCATGTTTGTTTTATTTATTTATTTTATTCGGCCATGACATTATTTCAATCATAATGAAAATAATAAGAACACACATAGTTCAATCAACAAGACAAAGTCTTATGTTTCATGCCCCTTAACACATACAGTATTTAGTTGACAAATAAAAAAAATGGGATGGCTCGCCTTTTTATATTTGTATTATCATTTTTTTTTTTTTTTCTTTACACATAGCAATCTTACACTTTGCTGTAGTTATTGTTGATTTTATTGTGTTTATCTCTATTTTGTAGGATTTTTGAACAACCAATCATTTACCATAATTTGCAAGTACTTTTTTTAATACATTTTCTTCAACTGTACAATGGTGTTACAGGATTGTTCACAGGGATCCAGAGAGTTGCAAAGCTTAATACCTGCTGCAAGGAAAACTTTCTATTTAAAGGTGGTGCGTGAAAAAGGCACACAAAAATGTCCTTTCCTTCTGTTACTACTGTCTGTGATTAAAAAGATTATTATGGATGTGCACTGGCACATGGAAGAGATTATTTGTGTGGTCTCTAGGGCCTTTGTGGCAGATGATTCTTACGGCTTTCTTTTGAAGTAGATATAACTTGGCTGTGGCTATAATACTAGCATTTCCCCAAACCTCAATGCAATAGGTAAAATAAGGAACAATTAGAGTTGTATATAACATCAGTGAAGCCTTGTCCAGAGTATGTCTGACCTTATACAATATGCTAATACTTTTACTTACTTTTTTTCTGATGTAGTCAATATGTGACGTCCAACAGTTTGTTATCAAGGATTACCCCCAAAAATTTGACTTCTGAAACACACTCAATATTTACATTATCAATAATTAATTGGACTGATAATTGTGGGTTATTTTTCCCAAAAATCATGTAACAAGTTTTATCCCAGTTTAGAAATAATTTATTGTAATCAAACCACTGCTTTAATTTGACCATTTCCCCTTCTATGTTTTCCATTAATTCATTTAGATCCTTTCCTGTATTAAACACTGTGGTATCATCAGCAAATAACAAAACATTTAGATTTTTAGAAGCCTCGTAAATTTCATTAATAAGTAATATAAAAAGTTTGGGCCCAATTACAGAGCCTTGGGTTGAATGCATTCAAGTGGTATCAGAATACATTTTCTACCTGATAATTCTTTAGTAATAAACAGAAATATGCCATTTCACAGCAGAGCAGAACTTAAAGACCATGACATACCAAATCTTCCATGATTTTTTTTAGTTTGTTCCCTTTGTGAACGTGGTCGTTCACAAAGAGGTTGTTGAACTGCATAACCAGGGTCTCTTGCCAAAGGATTATTTGATCCTTAGGGTTATGAAACAAAATCCACTTTTTGTCAATTGGACAATCTGCAAAGTGGCGCAATCCTTTAGTGTTGACTGGTCGGGTGGCATCCAATACTAAAGGGTTTAAAAAACCAACAACTGTGTCTTTTAGGGGCTGTAAAACTAATTTAGAAATTTGAATATCTAGGCTGAACTATTGTCATCAGTAGTTCAGAAGAATTCGAAAAGAGTATGATTTATTAACGCCTTTTTACAGATTAGGACCATTAATGATGACTTGACATGAAAATCTACTACTAGCTACTTTAACCTTTATTTTATTATCTCATTGAGATTAATAATCTCTTTTTCAAGAGTTTCCAAGAGTGTGGAAATGCTTACATCAAGTACGCTCTGATGAAAGTTGAGTGATAAATCAATAGCTGCTGTTATTATTGATGTTTTGAGGTCGTTTTCAGGTTTGGAGGTGTGGGCCTATATTTCCTAACTTTTGAGATACATATTTTTAGTGGAATTGTTGTTTGCTCTATTTGTTAAAATATATTTGGGTTCAGTATGTTTGATGGTTTTACTTCCTAAATTAAACAATGTGATTAAAAAAACAAATCCTCGTTCAGTTTTTCTCCAGAATTTAAATCTTCCAAGTCAGGAATTGCTACCAATTCGAGCAGCATTCATATGCCTTTTTTCCGAGTTGGAAGTAGAATCGTTTGACTTTCCAAGATCTTTGTAATTTATTTTTATTTCCACACTGCTCTGGCCGCACTCTTAGGTCCACAGGCCAGAATTTACTTGTGGTCCCAAAGACCCGCTATAAGACCCAGGGGGACCGGTCCTTCCAGTCCGTGGCCCCCAGACTGTGGAACTGCCTCTGTCCCTCTGTGTGGCCAACTCTGCTGATGCTTTTAAAAGGGGACTAAAGACACTTCTTTTTAGGGCAGCTTTTAGTTAATTTCTTGATTTTTATGTTGTTATTTTCTACCTTTTCTTATTTCTATTGTATATGCATATTTGCTTTTACCTTGTACAGCACTTTGTGATTTTTATCTGTGAAAGGTGCTCTATATATAAAATTAACTTACTTACTAGGTGAATACTGAAAACATGTTACACAGATACAAACCTTCTGTCTTCCAGATGAGGACACCCTGAGGAAGCTGAAGGAACTCCAAAGAGAGAAACAGTGTAAGATCTGTATGGACCGAGATATTTGCATGGTGTTTCTCCCGTGTGGCCACCTGGTCTCCTGCAAGGAATGCTCCAATGCACTCAACAAGTGTCCCATCTGTTGCCGCGCAATCGCACAAAAAGTCAAGACTTATTCTTAAGCAAATAGTTCCAGTTTAATGCTGCTTTCTTGTTCCTATTAAATGCTATTTTACTATATTTCTAATCAAGACTGTAATAAAATCAAATACAAGTGTGTGAAATATATATATATATATATATATATATATATATATATATATATATATATATATATATACATCATTAGAGAACTATATGTGTGACTAGGGGTGTAGATAAATCAGATTCAGGTGTACATTTTTTAAATAGTGAAGAAAACAAAATGTTCCTGTGTCGCTTGTGTCCAACAACCACATTTGCCTTTGTTATTAGCTACAATTGAACTATTACAACATTAATGTGTGATCATGCCTTGTTATGTAGTGTCTGTTATGTGATCTAATTTTCTCTACTGTGCACCGAAATATAACTACAAACTTACCTTCTCATGCAAAATCAAGGGACACTCTATCATGGGTGTCAAAGTCCAGGCCCAGGGGCCAGATCCGGCCCAAATTATCTTGGATGATATTTGGGGCGACAGTTGGTTTGGGCCTGAAGATCGTAGGTTCAGTGAGGGGCTGGTGCTATGTGTACTGGGTGCAGCTCTGACTGCCACCCCCTGATTCAGAAATGGATTAAGGGGAAGAAAATGGATGGATGGATATTTGAATAGAGTTAGAACCAGCCTGCTCAGAGCCATGACAAAATAATGAATTATTAATTTTATGTTCAGGACATGGTCGTAGGTTCAAATCCACCATGAGACCTACTTCACGGGCTCCCAATGATGGCTGCTGTTGTTGTGTCCTTGGGCAAGACACTTAAAATTCCTTCAAGCATCCTCTTTGAAGGAAGTTTTTTTTGTCTGAGCCTTTTCAAACATATTTTTTCTTGAATTTACTGACAGCTGTACAAAAATATTGGATTATTATTAGTTTAATCATTTGATAAAATATGGTACACTGTGTTAGGTCTTGGTTGGATAGATTATATACAATCATTTTAATGTTTTGATAAACTTTGAACCAGTCCGGCCCCTTGGCTTGTAGTAAATTTGTTTTGTTTACTATACTTTACTAATATGATGTATTTGACTTTGACATCCCTGTTCTATATTGTGGGTTATTTCAACAGATCAATAAAATAACTGTTTCAATTGTCTGACTTTTTTATGTGAGGAAAAGCCATAGCAATTTTTTTGAACAATATTTTTTATTGCATTTTTAAACATAATCCCTACAATCACACAGACAGAGAAAAAACAAAATAAAAAATAAAACAAAACCAGGCAGTCCCTAAGAATAGTAAAGGATGCAGAAACAGAAAAGGGTTATGAATATGTATATACACACACGTGTTTTGTATATGTATGTATATACACACACACACACCCACCCACCAATGAAAGTAGAAAAAGAATAAATAAAAAAAAAAAAAACAAAAAAAGAATAATAATGAAATACACATGCATTCATATACAAGAAAATAAAATACAAATAAAAATAAAAAACATAAATAAAAAAAACAAAACAAAAATAAAAGTATACATACATACATAGACGTACACACATTCACACAAAAAAAAAGAAAAAAAAGAAATGAAAACAGCAAAAAAATGATAAACATGTTCAACACACCATACCTAACAGGTACAAACTTACACCCTCTCATGCGCACCCACACACACACACTCTCTCACACACACACACACACACACACACGGACGAGAGTGCCCTTGCAAATATAGTATAGCATTGTTACATGGGCATCTGTAGATGTATGCACATGTCTCTGTGCTTATATCTCTATCCCACATCCACATGAGCCATCATACCAACATGTACATTTCAATTATGCTTTTCACGGTCCAAAACTACTTTCAGTTCATAGCTCCTTGGAGGGTCTCGCTCGGAGTTGAAAGTCCAAACGAACCGTCCTATGACTTTATGTAATTCAAAAGCGGATTCCAGCAGAGCTCCCATTTGTGTATGCTCCCTGCAGATTTAAATCTATGTTTTTCCATGTGAATGATGTTCACCAACTCATTCAGCCAGTTTCTGAAGGATGGTGCTCCTGGACTTTTCCACTCTGTAAGAATGAGTCTTTTTGCTACGATTGTTCCCAGTTGTAGCGCACTCCGTAGGTGTTTGGGGAGCTTGTCTACCTCTGAGGAGTGTCCGAAGATGGCCATGTCTCTGTCCACTAGTAGATCTATGCTGTAGATCAGTGTCTCCCAAAGTGGGGTCCGCGGCCCCCTGGTGGGCCGCGAGGGTACTGCAGGGGGGCCGCGGGAGGTCATAAAAAAAATAAAAAAAATAATATAATTATTTAATGTTACATTAATAATGTTTTGTTTGTAATATTAAAATATTTGTGTTCATTATTTGACTTGAATAATCCACTGTAATCATTTTTGTATTACAATGTTTGTAGCAGAGGCTATTTCCCCAAAATAAAATAACCAGAAGAGCCTATTCTTAATGTTGTCTTCTTGGTTATTAATTTGGGGGGCCACGCAGACCCGTCAGATTTTTAAGGGGGCCTCGGTGTTACTGAGTTTGGGAATGGCTGCTGTAGATTCCAGAAAAAAAGTAAAAGATACTTGACCAAAACTGTAGTATTACAGGACACTCCCAAAAAGAGTGGAGAAGTGACCCTTCAGCTATGTTACACTTGTCACACATAGGAGACACATCAGGGTAAAATTTATGCAGAGTAGCCTTGCAGTAGTAGAAACGATGAATCACTTTATATTGAATTAATCTGAGTCTGCTGTTAATTGAGCATTCATGGATTAGAGAGAGAGATTTTTCCCATTGTTGTTTTGCTATTGTAGAATTCAGTTCTCTCTCCCACGCTTTTTTAATGCCCTCTGTTGATGTAGTTGGTAGAAGACAGTTGGAAAATTTTGAGATTAATTTCTTGCTTGTAGGCGGTAGATTCAAAGTTTCCATAGCAATTTTAAGGCTCACTCAAAAGTATGTGAGGATCTCCAAATATCTATTATGGTCCGCTGCAAAGTTTGTCCAGAAAGTGGCCTCTTTTAATACAAAAGCCGTAAGTATTTGCTTGCAAGAGGCAATTGTGCATGTTGTCACATCAGCAGGCTGCAGTGTGAGTCAGAGGGGCTGAGTTGGATAATTTGGGATCCGCTGTGGGGGCAGTATTCCCCATGCAGTACTGTTATTTGTCCCGTAGGTGTCAGGTTATCCGTGGTATTTGCTCTGATCTCTCGATGAGGCTGTTGGCCGCTAGGTGGTAGCTCTGCACCAGGATTTCCTTCTCTGAGGTCGTCGAAACAACAAACCGAACTACGGAGCAGCGGGGCGACAGACCGTCCGATACCGCCTCTGACCGCGACTTTTAAACTATTTTTCTTGATTGTAGCGGGATTTTAAGCAAGATTTGAAAAGACACTTACAAGTTACGACTGTATCACTGCTGTATTTTGCAACAAGGTAAGTTAGCTGTAAAATGGCGGAGAGCTATCTGGAAGTTAGTTGAATTGTATTTTGCTAGCCGTGATGCTAGCCGCGCTAGCTGTGGAGGTGTCTGCCTCAGTCACAGCGGTACTAGGCTGCTTCGGTAGTTAGCAGGCCAATAAACTGCATTTTGCCTACTGTTGCATATAATTGGGTTATGCTGTGAATGAAGCAATCACCAGACTTTTTAAATCACGTCACAACACTTTATATATTTGTAAACAAAGTATTTATTCCTTATGCAATACGCTGCTGGAACTCCCGAGGCAAGATGGAGGACGCAAGGACGTGATGTTTTTTTAAGCGATGTTAGCATTAGCTGGGAGCTCTAGTCATCGATCTTCTAACTCCAACACAACTGTAAATATATCTTTTGTTCTCTGTGAACGGAATTGTAAATAAAACTTACGAAGGAGTTATTATTCGTGGAATCAAGTCGAAAGTCGGTCATACAATGGGGTCTTGTTGCTCAGTTCACGTTAGCTGCGCTACTGCTACTGGGGCTCGCGTTGTTTTGTTATTATTGCGTCCAAACTATGAAAGCTTCGGGTCCTTTTCGTCTGTATAGCACCCTATTGAGCTTTGCTGCTTACTCCAAGTTGATTTAGCAATGGCTGACTTCGGTGCACAGCATCACGTATCTATCAACTTCATATATTTATTTACCTTTTAAGGTAAAATGATAAAGTTTGTACGGCTAGTGGCGTTAGCTTCCACTGCGCACCGGTGTCAATTTTGACAGAAGCCGCGGAAGAGCGCATCTGTGTCGGGGATGTCGAACGAACGAGAGCCGCTGGGTTTTGGCGCGGCTAATCCTAAACTTATTGTCAGAACCAAGTTTCATTCGTTAGTTTTGAACTACATATACAATAATTGATACACAACGACGGGTTTATGATGTACACTTAACGATTTGGCGCCACTTTTAGTCAACACCCATAGCCTGTAATGCAACATCAAGCAAAGGTCTCAAAATTCAAGCGCATAATCTATATAAAGCAAAAGATTTGGTTTTGGCTCCTGCAAGCTAATTATTTGTCAGTTTGTTACTTGATGCATGTAGTTTGATTACAATGTAACACTTGTATAACTAACTCTTGGACGGTTTGTGGAATGTTCAATTACAACAAATGCACATGTTAAGGTGTGTCTTTTAATACAATAAAATATGCTCTCGTCAATCTCCTTTTTGTTCGTACACATGGCGGCATGTGCTAATGTGCATGAGTCTTCTGCAGCCACAACATCTCCCAATACAACTTTGATATCTGTTTGTAATTATTTTTTTAATGGGGGCAGCACTAGTGGTGGTGTGCTCTTTTCTGTTTGCTCATTAAGAGTAGCACACACATCAAAGCCATGCAATTTTGATCCGTGGCCTGCAGTATCTTGTTGATGTTGATACCGGTGTTTCATTGGCTGAGTCGACAGTGGGGCGGATAGGTCTACGCCATATTTGGCCATTGAGGAAGACATTCGTCTACCGTGTATGACGCTCTGCGTAAACCCAGGGAAGCTGAGAAAAACGAGTAGGCCAATACGAGCGAAGTATGTATGCAACTGAGGCGTTATACCCGCCCCCGTTACCATGTGAATTTTGTGTACTTAGTTTTATTGGTTAGTAATAAATAAACACTTGACTTTTGTACTGCAATGTATATGCTGTTGACCACTGTAATTTGAAAGTCTATACTAATATGTCTGCTTTATTTCATGTTTCTTTTTTCCAGATTCCATGCAAACGTCTTATTTGTGTATATACTAATAATCACAAGTCAATCACAAGTTGAAGTTATCCAGAAGATGTTACAGAAATGATAGCAGCACCAGAGATACCGCCAGAGTTCGCCTATCCGTAAGTTTGTGTTTGTAGTGACGCTATTGTACTAATTGAAGGCATACCACAGTAAGCTTGAATAATATTTATTATCTGCTTTTTACCATCCAGGGACACCGATACAAGATTCTCATCTGATACAGACTTCTCTGAGGATATCGATGGAAGGAGTACAAGCTCAAAAGGAAAGGTAAGATCGCTATCTCACATAGGGCCTAATGAATTTTTATCTGCACAGTATTTCAATTTTTATTTATTTTTTAATTCTATGTCTTGTTTTTCTTTCACCAGGGTGGTAAGAAGGGAAAGAAAGCAGCAGGGGAGAAAGGCAAAGGAGGAAAGGGGGCAGGCCGACTAAATGGCCACCACCAGGAAAATGGCATGGAAAACATGATGCTGTTTGAGGTAGTGAGGCTAGGCAGGAGTGCAATGCAGGTGAGTAAAACAGAGTTACTTGTATTGCATATTGACACAAAAAAGTTACCTTTCTTGATTTTTTGTTTGTTTGTGTAGTGCGTTGTAGATGACTGGATAGAGTCTTATAAGCATGACAGAGATGTTGCGCTATTAGACCTAATCAATTTCTTCATCCAGTGCTCAGGATGCAAAGGTATAGTGCTTTTAATGTCTTATTACAGATTGTTTTTAAAATGCATGACACTTTTTTTTTTCCTCAGGTGTTGTTTCCGGAGAAATGTTTCGTAACATGCAGAACTCTGAGATCATTCGACGAATGACAGAGGAGTTTGACGAGGTACTGAAATGGCATTGTTTTCTTTCTGTGCCACCTGCATCAAATTTGTGACTGTTGGGAATCCAATCAAAACACTTTTGTCTTTTGTTCCTATAGGATAGTGGTGACTACCCTCTAACTATAGCAGGGCCTCAGTGGAAAAAGTTTAAATCCAGTTTTTGTGAATTTATTTCGGTGCTCGTTCGTCAATGTCAATATAGTATCATCTATGATGAGTACATGATGGACACAGTCATCTCTCTGCTCACCGGACTATCAGACTCTCAAGTCAGAGCCTTCAGACACACTTCAACACTGGCAGGTGAGAAAGCTGAAAAAAATGCTATGTCTTGCACACGAGATTTTCAAATTGTAATACATATAGAAGGCAGAAAGAAAATTATGACTTATGTGACATTCTATTGTATATTTTCATTTTGGCCTTACATTTTCCCCAAAAGTGTCAAGTATCAAATCTCTAAAATTATCAAATTAAAACTAGTATTCAAACTTGCTACTCAGTTTAGCAAGTACACATACAACTTGACAGGAAAATATATTATTCATGACTCAATTGATATTTCATGTATTTCAGTGTATTTCATTCCTGGTTACGTATTGCTAACACATTTTTTTGTATTGAGCAGCAATGAAGTTGATGACTGCCCTGGTGAATGTAGCTCTCAATCTGAGCATCAACATGGACAACACGCAGCGGCAGTACGAGGCAGAGAGGAACAAGATGGTGGCCAAAAGAGCCAACGACCGACTGGAGCTGCTGCTACAGAAACGCAAAGAGGTATGACTGGGATGGCAATGTGTTGGAAGTTTGATTTTGGAAACTTGCCTAGATAATTTATACACTTAAGTTCAGTTAATGTGTTTCATTCCGTGCATATTCTGATTAATACTTTGATTAATCACACGTGACCTTAAATGCACTCAAAGGTGCGACTTTGTCATTGGCTAGAGCAAGTTTACAAACTATAGATCTAGGTGACAATAAGAAGAAGGAAAAATATCCTCCTTAAACACTGCAATTCAGAAATGTACAGCATTGTGACTGCTGCTCTCTGTAAACTCATGCTTGCATCTCATGGTTTCCTGTGCGCTTAAAAATGTGTTTATGTTGTGTGTGTGTGATCAAAAGCATGGCGTCTTTTCACGTTATCCTTTTAATTTGGCCTTTATGCATATCACTGGTTGTCGTCAGGAACATAAAAGACAAAGTTAGGAGTACTGGTGGACCTAAAGACTTCAACTTTGGCCACCTGGCCAAAATGTATTATACTATGAAGCTCTAATGTACTGTGTTTGCCAAATACCATTTGTTGTTAATTTTTTTATGAACGGCAGTTTTAGTAAACTGATCTTTTAATAGGCATCAAGACATTTTTTTTGATGACATGTGATTTGAACACTTGAGCATCAAACACACAAAGCATCATTTGGAATTGTGTAGAGCAGGGGTGCTCACACTTTTTCAGCATGCGAGCTACTTATAAAAGGATCAAGTCAAAATGATCTACCTACTACAAAAATGCAAATCATATATTTATTTCAAAAAATATTCTTTATACCTACAATGTATGTTTATGTACATGCAAAACCGCATGAGCCAATTTAGCACAACACAACACAATTACCTATGTACATTTTTTGTCATTACCCGAGTTTACTCTGATGACTTGCACTGAATTGAATCGGCCAGGGATGCATAGTCCGGAAAATTGGTGGTAACTCGCTGACAAGTTTGTCGTGGTTTAGCTTTCCTGCACTGAGCGCAGTTGTTTGCGCATGTGCAGTCACCTAAGTGTCAGTAAAACATTACTGAGTAAAACACAGATGTCATTTTACTGTGGTGCCATGTCCATGTGCCATGCCTGTTTTTTTTAAATCCAAATATTTCCCCTCCTCAGTTTATAAAATAATTTGCATCCACACATCTGCGTTATCAATCACATTCGTAACATTCCAAACATGTGCGTCTCTTACGTCCTGTCCTGCGTTGGGGAAAAACACAGAAGTGGGCGGAGCTTTGATGCAGACGCCGGTAACGGCACTTTTACAGTCATAGAAGACACTCAGAGTAAAGACGTATGTTTACAAGCACTGACCCCGTCCTCAGTCCTGGTTTAGTCCTGGTTTAGTCCTGGTTTTGTCCTGGTTTGGTTGTTTTCGAGCGTGAGTCCCTGCGATCACTTTGCTGCTCTCTGATGTGGAGGATGTTTGCTGCTGCGAGCATCTCCCAGTGAACAGTTTTTAAGGTCGTATGATCCAGGCTTCAGTGATCAGAGGAATTTAGGGGGGTACTTTGGCGTGCGAGAACGCAAAACTCGGTTATCTCTGTCTACACACAAATGCATTAACGGAGTTTTCAAAAATCTCCACTTTGCCCGGAGTTTTTTGTATATATTCGTTTAGAATGTGTAATTTTTTCATTTATTTAATGCGATCTACCAATACTACCTTTGCGATCGACTGGTAGATCGCGATCGACGTATTGAGCACCCCTGGTGTAGAGGATGCCATGGTCCTTTCTTATAAAAAGTATCTGTCCATAACAAGTTATCTTTTGTAACCTTTTATTTATATAAAAAATCAAGTGTATAACAATCAAATGCATGTTTAAACAGTCTTGTTAGAAAGCGTTCATTCTAACTGAGAGATTAGCACATGTATATGATGATGTTAGAAAGGCATGGGTCCTGTAGGATGTTGGCCCCGCAGTGTCTCTACTTGTGCCGAGCATTACTCACACATAATTGTCACTTGATTGGGTTATGTAACCGTGGGACCCACTGGGCATCCATCTGCTTGTCCGCTGTGTTGCCTCCGTCTGCGTGGTGCCACATTTGGCTGTCACACACGTCTCGTTATGTTAACAATACCTTCCAGTCACCAATTTCGACACTGCTCTGAATGCTAAATAGCATTGATAGTTTGATTTTTATTTTTTATTAAAAAATAAATTTTTCTTTCAGCTCCAAGAAAACCAAGATGAAATTGAAAACATGATGAATGCAATTTTCAAAGGAGTGTTCGTCCACAGATATCGGTATTATTTTATAGCCAATTATTGCATTGACATATATAATATTGATGTCCATGCTTGATTTAAAAATTAAAAATAAAATGTGTGGGTTGGCAGTGATGCAATAGCAGAAATCAGGGCGATCTGTATAGAAGAGATTGGAGTGTGGATGAAACTCTATAGTGATGCCTTCCTCAATGACAGCTATTTGAAGTATGTGGGCTGGACAATGCACGACAAGGTTTGTTGCCAGGATAGATTCAAACATGATCTCTTGTTTTGCTTGTACAAAAATATTATTTTTTTGTCACAGCAAGGAGAAGTGCGCCTGAAATGTCTGACAGCGTTGCAGGGACTCTACTACAACAGAGAACTCAATGCACGGCTGGAGCTCTTCACTAGTCGCTTCAAGGTTAGCTCCACCTGTTGGACAAATCATGCAGCGCATGCAGATATATTCAATCATTCAAAACGAACTCTGAGCTCAACAGTACACTTGTTATAAATGTGTTTTTGATGTTTTTTTCTTAGGATCGAATTGTGTCAATGACTCTTGACAAAGAGTATGATGTTGCAGTGCAGGCAATTAAACTTCTCACCCTTGTTCTTAAGTAAGTGTCATTACTCATTCATCTTCTGTTTTAAATCTATCATCTTTGAGACAAACTTACAACATAATGTTATATACATTTAAATGCTGTACTGCTCTTGTTGTTTTGTAATGTGTTGCGTGGTTTGTTCCTGCAGTAGCACAGATGAAGTCCTGACCCCGGAGGACTGTGAGAGCGTCTATCACTTGGTTTACTCGGCTCACAGACCGGTGGCTGTCGCAGCTGGAGAATTTCTCTATAAGAAGTATGTTAATAAACGCACACACAATCACATTGTGTGTGAATGTGTCGCCATACCTAAACAAGCACTGATTACATACTGATTCACATAAATTTATTCTATAACACATCGTCAGTCTGATCTGATCACTAGCTTATCTTTATTAGAGTCCCACTGCGTAACTTTACCCAACACATACATGGTTTGGACTTATTTGTTACATAAATCCAGCCATAATAATCTGATAATGGTCTCTGTGTTTTACTCTCTGTAGGTTGTTCAGTCAGCGAGAGCCAGAGGAAGAAGGCGCCCCCAAAAGGAGAGGAAGACAAAGCCCAAATGCCAATCTTATAAAAACTACCGTCTTTTTCTTCTTGGAGAGCGAGGTGTGCTTCTTGTCATGATTCTTCAAAAGTAGTGATTCTGTTCTTGAGCTCTGACAAATTGACTTGTTTGTTTTTGTATTTTGCTTTTGTAGCTTCACGAACATGCGGCCTACCTGGTCGACTCCCTGTGGGAATGTGGGCCTGAGCTGCTGAAGGACTGGGAGTGTATGATCAGTTTATTGCTCGACGATCCTTTGCCGGGAGAGGAGCGTACGTTCATCTTTTTTTTTTTTTTTTTATCGTCAACACAATCTATTGTTGTATTAATTGGCAGTGTGGTCAATATTAATTTGTGTTTTCAGCTCTCACGGACAGACAGGAAACTGCGTTGATTGAAATCATGTTGTGCACGGTACGGCAAGCTGCAGAATGCCACCCACCAGTCGGACGAGGCTCCGGAAAGAGGGTAAAGCATTATTTACACATAATTATACAAAATGGATACTAAAAAATATCAAGATGTATGCTGCAAGTCTTACAAATCCATTTCTTTTCAGGTAATGACAGCAAAGGAGAAGAAGACGCAGTTGGATGACAGAACTAGAATGACAGAATTATTTGCTGTGGCGTTGCCCCCTCTACTGGCCAAGGTTTGATACTACATCTCATTTGTCAGTTTGGAATACAACATTGTGTAGGGAGCCTTTTATTAAATGACTGCTTTCGTTTTGTTTTCTTCAGTATAATGTAGATTCGGAGAAAGTCACAAACCTGTTGCAGTTGCCGCAGTATTTTGACTTGGAGATCTACACGACGGGGCGTCTGGAAAAGGTCTGTCTTGATTTTTCGCTTGATTTTTTTATGATGCAGTTATGTGAAATTAAAAAAGTAGCTATGAATGACAAACTAAATTGAATATGAATGACGAATTCATTAAGTATTTCCTATGTACAACTTTTTGTTTATGTTGTGTTACTGATTAATCGACTAGAGGTTGTAAAATTGGGAAATGTATTATATATATATATATATATATATTTATTTTTTTTTCTTGTTGTCATAGAATAATATTTATTGTTAAAACGATCTGAAACTATTGTAAAATACCATATTGGAAATATGTGTGTAGTTGTCCTAAAGTTCAGTGGATTTTGTTAATTAAATTTAGAAGCCTGTTTTGGCACGATCCTTAGTTTTTGTCTCCTTTGCCAACCCATGTTTTAAAGTATTTCGCTCTTGCCATACATAGCGTTAGATTTATTGAAGCTGGATCAATATAGGAGAACTTGATGCTAAAACGTAAATTGGCGTCTTTAAGTTTGTTTAGACTATATTTTTTTTACTGGTTACTTTATTTCAACATGTTTTCCTCCTTCTCCCCCAGCACCTGGAGTCCCTTCTGCGGCAGATCAAGGAGATAGTGGAAAAGCACACAGACACTGAAGTCCTGGAGACCTGCTCCAAGACTTACCATGCCCTCTGCAACGAGGAGTTCACAATCTTTAACAAAGTGGATATCGCTCGCTCGCAGCTGCTGGACGAACTGGTGGACAAGTTTAACCGGCTATTGGAAGATTTCCTACAAGAGGTACAGGAACATAAGTCATTAAAAACTTCTCTGGCAAAGTTTTTTTTATCTGATTGTAGTTGGGGTCTTTCAACAAGCAATGATTTTGGAACCTAAAAAATGCTGCACTTTGGTCAACTTGTTTGTCTCACCTTAACATGAAAAAGCTATTGTTTTTGTAGTAAGTTTTTTGCCTACTTCTCTCTGTGGAGATGTAATATTCTTTGGTTGTAAAGTAGTGCTGCACGATATTGGAAATGATAAGATGTATGGTGTTGACGCCTGCGATAACTGAGGAAGAAGTTGCTCTGTCTGCTCATCTCTTCTCCCACTATGTTGCATTTTTTTCCCATCATTTAATCTTCTTATATGCGCTGTGCCACAGACTCTTGTGGTGTTGCTTTTTTTTGTTGAAAGAAACGCATGATTGTATGTCTACATCAAATAATTTAAAATGATGGCACATTTCAAAATACCATTACCACCATAATAGTGTTTGTGTATATTGTTCTGCCCAACTTGTTTTATAAATTATGAATCTCTACCCATGGGAAAAAGTGGGAGGAGGATCACTACCTGCCATTTGTGGTTTTGTACTTTGTATTGTGGGGAAAGATGTTTTGTAATGGTTAAAAAAAGTTTAATTTATAAATTTCATAAATCAATTATTTTCCAACTTAAATAATTCCAGTAGTTTTTTTTCTCAATTCTTGCTTCTTCATCATTCTAAAGTTTGAGATTTTAAAGCGTCTTTCCTCATTAGGCTAAAGATAGAGATTTTATACATGCTTCTTTTTATGCTTGTTAGATTTTATTTTAGTCCAGCATCGAGTTATTAGTCATTCATCTTCTGCTGTGTGTTCTTCCTTCCTACTGATCTGTAACTTGTGAAGCAACGCGGAAATTTCCCCAGTGTGGAAAGGATCTCAATCTATTAACTCTCTGTTTTAGGGGGAAGAAGCCGATGAGGATGACGCGTATCAGGTTTTGTCGACGCTAAAAAGAATCACAGCATTTCACAAGTAACTTTTTCTTCATGATTGCATTGTGTATGCAGATTTCTGTACGTGCAAATGTTAAATGTTATTCTTTCTTCCCACAGCGCACATGACCTATCTGGCTGGGACCTGTTTAGCAGTAACTTCAAGCTCCTAAACACAGGAATAGAGAACGGAGACATGCCAGAGCAGGTTTGTTAACGCTAACCTTTATGGATTAGGGCTTTTTCATGTTATCGCTAATGTCTCTTTTTTTTTTGTGAGCAGATAGTCATCCACTCACTTCAATGCACCCACTATGTCATTTTATGGAACTTGGCAAAATCCTCGGAGGGCAGTGCAAGAAAGGTGAGGTCTACAGAAACAAGTTATTATAATTACAGTTTTCCATTCTATGTATTGCTGTAGTTTTGCTTTGATTACAGTGGGATGATAAAAGTGCTTACGAATGTGAAGTTACAAGGTTGAAGTTGTGGCAATATGTAGTTTAGCGTTGGGAAGCAGCCTTCTTTTAGTTTATTTTCTTGAGGTATTTTGTTGTAAATTGATTGACATTGTATTTCAGGACGACCTGGTGACTCTGAGAAAACAGATGAGAGCGTTTTGTATGATGTGCCAGCGATACCTCACAAACGTCAACACTGCAGTCAAAGAACAGGTGAAAATCTACATACAAGGACGCTACACTTACTTTGATGCAACTTACAAGTGATAAACCGTATGTTCTCTCAATGTCAGTTACTGTTTTGTGTATATACTATAGGACAGAAATCTACATCTATCACTATGAAAAAAAATGGCTGGAGTAGACCTTTTCTTGTCTAGATTAACCTAAGCTGGTAACCATAAAGTACCTACCTTTGAAACAACAAATCTAACTAGTTCCTCGCTCTCTGAACTGTTTGGTTCTATCAGTAGTTTTTTGACCTCTGCCACATCTGTAGATCAACTTTTTCCGACAAAAAAGTGAAAACGACAAAAAGACTATCCTCTGCCAATCGGCTTTCAGTCCAAAGCTTCATTCCGAGTCACTGAGCTTTGTTACCTTTTTAAGTTCTTATGTAAAGTGTCTGAGTGTCCAAAAAAATTATAAAAGTACAATGTAATAATGATAATAAGGTAACTCTGAGTCATGGTGTCATGTGTAGGACACAAAAGATAACTAGTGAGGCATCAGTTTATGAAGTTGTTTACTCTCCGTAGGCCTTCACAATCCTGTGCGACCTCCTGCTCATCTTCAGTCATCAGATGGTGGCAGGGGGTCGGGAGCACCTGGAGCCCCTGGTATACTCCCCAGAGGACTCGCTCCAGTCCGAGCTCCTCTCCTTCATCCTCAACCACGTCTTCATCGACCAGGACGACGACTCCAACAGCACAGGTACCATAGTCCTTATCTACATAGTCAAAAAGAGGATAAAACGTTTCTTGTGTCTGCAAAAATGATCAAGTATCTGGAAAATATTGTCTTTTAATGGAGTGTTTTTGTTCTTAATTCGTGTACATTCTGACTCTTAAAACCACATTTGCCAATAGGACAAAGCCATTTAGTCTTAGTTCAAAAACTGTCGCTTTATTTTCTCATTTCAAGAAAGACATTTCTTGCATCTTTAAAAAAAAAAATAATAATTCTTGTCCCTTTGGCAAATTTTGCTCTCAAGGCAGTCCAAATGTGCACAATTTAAGATACTTCTTGTCAAATTTGAGAAATTACTGATATATTTTGCATCACTTCTCAACAGCACATTGTTTCATAGCTGCTCAGTAATAAGTACAATTCTCTTGTTCTGCAGATGGTCAGCAGGACGATGAAGCTGTGAAGATTGAAGCTCTGCACAAGAGAAGAAACCTCTTAGCCGCTTACTGTAAACTCATCATCTACTGCGTGGTGGAGATGAATACTGGGGCCGACATCTTCAAACAGTACATGAGGGTACGCTTTAGTTGTCCATATTAAAACAAACTGCAATCTGTCTGAGGATTTCAGTATGCTCTATCACAGTGTTAAACCTTTTATTATAAGCACAAGTGAACATATTTTTGTATATTCTATATGCATGTTGTGTGTGTTTTGAGTCAAACGAGAAATATCATTGTCTCCTCATTCAGGCACAAATTGACTTTTAAAATCCTCATGCTCACTTATAACATCCTTCCCTATCTGACAACACCATTTTTCTGGTTTACTTGTGCCTTATGGTGCTTTCAGACCGCTAACGCTGAAACGCGGAAGCCCCGCTCTCCAGACGCGTATTCTCTAGTTTTCAGACGCAGAGGTCTTCACACCAGAACGTCCTGACGCGAGCCGGAAGTACCGGAAGTAGCCGGCCGGCTCTGATGCTAACTGATCTTCACTCACAGATTTTCCACGGGCTTTATATAACAGTAGTATGTGTTCACGGAGGTGCGCCATACGTTTTTTCATATTATTAAACGGAATTTCCGCATCGGCGAACACACTCGAAGCAGTTGCATAAGGTCACGGGAGCATGACAACACATATTTTCACAAGCACAGAGTCCCCCATTGTCAACCCTGGTTTGAGTTCTGGTGAAGTCTGGTGTCGGTCTTGTTTTGGCTGTTTACGAGTATTTTCAGTCTGCTCGTTCAGTCCGCTAATGTCCCCGTGACCACTTTGCTGCTCTCTGATTGGTTGTCGCACGAACGTCCCAAAGAAAGGATGAGCAGAATCCATCTCCTGTGGGCGTTGATTTTTCGCTCCTGCTCCTCCCTTTTCACTTTCCCGCCAAGTCCGTGCGTCATTATTGAACAGGTCCGTGCGTTGTGACGGTCGAACGCGCGCCACCATAGACTTTGCATTGAAACCCGTCGCAACGCATGATCCGGTCTGAAAGCACCATTATGAACCTGTGCACAAACGCAGATCCTTGACCATCTTGCCATTTCTTTCGCAAAATTGATAACAATGTTGAGCGGTTATTGACGTCATTGTATTCAGACTGTCTTGATGGTAAACTTTTTAAAGTCTTGGTGTTTATGATTTGGTGCACTGTTCTCACATGTTGAGAGTGGCATGTATGTGTAAAATATAAATTTACATGTTCTCTTTCTTTACAGTATTACAATGACTATGGCGACATCATCAAAGAGACCATGAGCAAGACCAGACAAATCGACAAGATCCAGTGTGCCAAGACGCTCATCCTCAGTCTGCAGCAGGTCAGTGGATAATAACAAGTTCTTTTGTAACATCAAGTGAATATGTAGATCTCTAATTCACTGGCTGGCACTGAGTCAATACTTTACTACACTATGTTATACTGATTTTGGCAGAATAATAACTATATTGAAGCACGACAAACAGTTATCTTCTAATTATATTGTCATTGGAATTTCTTTTATCATTAAACTATTTAAATTCATAGTTGACTGGGATCATCCTGCTAAATTCCAGTTATGGGTCATATGGGAAAAGATAGTTTCAGGTTGAGAGATCCACAAAGCACTTGAAATGTCTCAACAGAGCTAGGAACGTTACATGTGGTGTGCATGTAAAACAATTCTTTGAGCTCTTCTCTTGTGTGCCTTTATTTACTCATAATGTTTTAAATACAATCAAATCTTGCATTGTATCAAAGTCTCAATAATTTATTTTTTGTGTGTGAATGTGATGGATATACATTCTTTCATTCAGGATCTTTTAACGGCATTAAAATGATATTACATTCATGGTATCCAAAATAAATGTGTCTAACCTTGCATTTGAGCGATTGTAGAAATACATATGTGATGCGATCTGGGAAAACCCATCACATGGTGAAATTTGACCTATTTAAGATTCTGACACCATCTTAAAGCTGCTTCCTATCTCTTTTCAAATCTGTTTTCCTTTTTTTCATAGCAGGTCTGTAACAAAAGTTATCATTATCTGAAGTCAGCGAATTCACATGGTTTTATGAAACAGAATTCTGAGAAAAACGGGTTTAAAGTTAGACATTCTGAATAGAACAGAATCAAATAAAACATGTCACATGAATTACTCTGTTATGGCACACACTTATTTTAGTCACTATGTTGTAAAAGATAAAACATTTTACTTAGGCACCATTTAAACACACAACACTCCATGAATCAGATAGAAATCAAGAATGATTTCAAAATTCAATGAATTGAATTTGTTTTACAAAACTTTTCTAACTCTTCTTTTTTAGTTGCTTTCTCTTTATAAGTTACCGAACATTATATATGTATTAGACAATCCAGTATTATTCTATCCAATCACGCAGTATAAATATCCACAACCACCAAATTGAAAAGATGAAAATTGGGTACCCGAGCTTTAATTTCATGAGCGCATAGGAGACACGGGGGAGACCTGTACTTGCAACAAGCTGGGGATTGTCTGAACGCGTGTCAATGGTTCTGTCCGCGTATGGTCCTGTCAGAAGAGTGCCTATGGTCCGCGTGTCTATGGTCCTGTCCAACTGTCTATGATCCGCGTGTCTATGATCCGCGTATGGTCCTGTTCGCGTGTCTATGGTCCTGTTCACGTGTTTATGGTCCGGTCTATGGTCCGCGCTCGGAGCCCCGTTACAGCAGTGCTCTCACTGAGCTGTCAAAGCGGCTGTCACAAAGCGGCCGCAGCTGCTCCCGGGGTCAGAGCGGAGGATGTAACGTAACGTTCGGTTTATCAACACATATCACAATTTTTAATTTATAAAACTAGTGAATTTCACCTAGATATTTTCAGAAATTAAACAAAAGACGTTATATAATAATCGACCTATAATAACACTCGACCTATTTTCACTGTTTACTCGAATGTGCTAGCGCGACATCCGATGGGTTTTCCCAGATCGCATCTCACATTGTGCCGTGCCACATTGCCTACGCTATGAAGTGTTGTGGATTTTTTAAAAACTGATCGTCAATCTGAAAAACTCTAAAGCCAGATCAATGCTCATTTCTAATTTACCTCAAATGTTTCATGTTGAAAAAATGAAACTGCAGACCATATTTTGAAATAATCTTTAAAAGAAATCAGAGAGGCTGATTTTCTTGGTTTATGACTACAATAATCCTGTAGTGTTTGGAGAGTATAATCTTTCCTTTTAAATTCATACAAAAAGTTATACATTACATTATCCAGAATCTACATTAAAATATCTTACATTTAATATATGACCTACTAGATTATTGCAGGTCCAATCTAATAGAAATTTGTATCTAATGTATTTTTTACCCCCAAAAGCTATTTCACGAGATGCTGTCAGAGCTGGGTCACGGTTTCGATCGTTCTTCGTCTGCGTTCTGCGGGATCAAGGAGCTGGCGCGTCGCTTCTCCCTCACGTTCGGTCTGGACCAGGTCAAAACCAGAGATGCCATTGCTATGCTTCACAAGTAAGTCCTCCACAGCTGACTTCCGGTTATAACTTGGACCCGAATCACGGATCTGTCGAGGGAGATAAATGACTCTCTCAGAAATGCATGTTCCGCCGCCGCATCTCGTCTGCCCTCAATCTGAGATGAGACGAGCAGACTTAAGTGAATGTGCCTCCCCCTATTTTTGTATCTCATTATTTATTAAAGGGGTCAGGCTTATCATATGCAAAGAGAGAAATGGTATAGAGGACTTGATGTTGTACTTTACACATCAATCCTGTGGAAGGATTGCATGGGATAGATTTGCTTTTTAACAATTCTAAATATCCCTGTATGCCTGCATTTGGCCATTTGCAAGATTGTTTTTTTTTTTTTTTTTACCAACTACATCCTTATTAACTGTCATTATCTCAACTGTAATTATTAAAGTTTAAAATAGCTATTTACCTATTTTTCTTTTCCATTTCAATAATTACTATTTCTCTATTCAATTAGACTATTCAAGTTGACCCGTTAAAAAATATATGCTGTTAGGAGCAAAGCCACCTTTCCTCAACCAATGCTGGGTCTTAGTTCAGGGATATTTTAGCAGTGTATAATATGAAACTAAAATGAATCATAAGGATTTGTTTTGAGCAGCAGCATATTCGATCTCCTAATAGTTGAAAGAATGATTGATGGGTTAACAGAACTCTTTTGATTGAATCGGTTTTGTCTTCTTCCTCCCCTCTGCAGAGACGGCATAGAGTTTGCGTTCAAAGATCCCAGTACTCAGGGAGAAGGGGGTCCTCCTCTGAACCTGGCATTCTTGGACATTCTCAGCGAATTTTCCTCTAAACTCATGAGACAAGACAAGAGGACTGTGTAAGTGTTTCCTTTCTGTCTGATACATTCGAACAGATGTTTTTACAACTGTAGCAGCTGTTGGTTTGGCACACGTGTGGTAGTTTTGCGCTCCTGGTTGTTCCTGCCATTTTAACAGTGCGGCTCGTTGAAGAGTGCAGTAGCTCACTTTCTCTTCTCTCCTCCTGTGACCTTGCGTGTCTGCGGTCTCCAGGCACATGTACTTGGAGCGCTTCATGACGTTCCAGATGGCACTGCAGCGCGAGGACTGCTGGCTGCCCCTCATCTCGTACAGGAACTCCCTACAGGCAGGGGGCGACGACGACACCATGTCAGTGATGAGCGGCTACTCAAGCAGGGGCTCGTCGGTGCGTTCCAAGAAAACCAAGCCCCCAGCGGCCACAGCTGGACCCTCAGTCGCCAAACGGAAACTCCCAGAAGGTAAACAGTATGAACATGGTGGCTGTAACAATTGAACACACTTCTGGGGTTGGTTTATAATGGGCCAAAATGAGGACAAGGCCTATTCTTCTCCTGCTCCCCACCATAGGCCTTTTTCTCCTCATGCAGACAAGCAGGTAGAACAGAAAAGCTAGAAAGCACATATTCTGGAACATTCATGCTGCGTCAGTGCGGAAAAATCAGATTATTCTTGGATTATTTTGAGGACCTTTTTTCATTGTTCCTAATTTCTCAGCATTCATAAACCCATGGATAGGTCGAGTCAGATTTCCTGCATTACAGCTGATTTACAGAGACTGTGTAGGAGCTCAGATTAACCCAGATACAGCCGTTCTCCTTCTCGACTTGTGCTGTGATCTGATGGAGCAGATTAAGCCACAGCTGCCACAGTCACTTAAAGCAGTGGTATTATCACTAATGTCACCACTGCATTCGATTCTGTTTCATTGCGCAGGTAATGCTCATCCCTTTTATAGAAAACTTCCAGTTGGCAGAATGTCATTAAACGGCTATTCATGCCATCAAATTAATGTACCCAAATATGTTTACCCTGTTTTCTAACGACTGCTTTCAGCTCACGAAATGTCGGCAAGCGCGGAAAGATCTTTCCCACTATAGTTACAAGCACAATCGCCTTATTCTGAATGCAAGACACTTTGTATACAGCAACTCTTTCCAAACATTTTTCACACAGTTTAGAAAGATTCAGCTTGACAACTTAGTAGAAAATACTTTATTTATACATGTTTTGTTTTCTGTTACTGATTTTAGTTATTCTATCTCCTTTCAGTTTTCAGGGTTCCGCCAATTATCTTAGCTTTTTAGCGTTTTAGCTTCCCATAAATCTTTTTCAAATATATTACATCATCTTTTGTTTTCCGTTATTTATTTTAGTAGTCCTATCTCCTTTTATGTTTCAGGGTTCCATCTTTTTTAGTCTGTTTTATGTCTAGTTTCTTGAAAAAACAAATGGGCTGAACGTTGTTGTCAAAATAGACAAATGCTGCGGTTATTATTGATTCCTAAAGCAGTTCACGTCTGACCGTCTGTCTGTCTCTGCGTGTTTGCAGAGGAGAGCAGCAGCAGCGAGATGTGGCAGCAGACCATGCAGACGCCGGTCATGCTGCCCTCCCCTCACCTCACCTCCACCGTCATGAGAGACCCTAAGAGGGCGCGCGAGGACAGCTACATGGGCGTGTACCCCATGGCTCACGACCAGACGCCACATCACCCGCCTCATCATCAGCCCACGCCCCAGCATCACCCCCCGCCCATGGACTACAAGTACGTCCGAGTGCTCCGTGTCTCTGGTTCATTGTTTTTCTTTTCGGTTCGATAGTGTATTTCTTTACCACAATGTAACTGCAATACAACACTAGTCATTTGTCTATAATGTATTTGAGATGAACTGTTATGAAAAGTCTAAATATCAAAACAAAATGTGTAAATGTGTATATATATAATGATACATAAATATGTATATTAGGGGCTGGTGCTTGTGTACTGGGTGCAGCTTTGACTGCCACCCCCCCGACCCAGAAATGGATTAAGGGGAAGAAAATGGATAAATGGATGGAAATATACATATATATTTATTGTATATTTTCACTTTGACATAAATACAGATTACAGATCCAGTTTAGTTTAGTGTATAATATCAGAATTATTTGTATTGCCATTGTAAGTAACAGGAAGTCATAAACAAGGAATAAGTATGAAAATGTCTAGGGGCATGTATAATAGATCCTTCTCAGAGATGAGTCCAATGAGGGTGATGTTGTCTGCAGACTTGATTAGCGTCCCGTAATATTCCTAAATGACCATATTTGGCAAACCTCAGGTCAGTCAACAAGGCCAAGTGTAAGTACGTTTCTATTGTTTATGATGTATTCAGACAGACCCTTTACCTTGTATTTACCGTTTATAGAAAGAATGGAAAATATAGTCTATAGTACTGGTATTTACAAATGTGTTTTAATCTACTAGTACTTGTTTCTGCCTTTGGATTTTAATTGGCTAAAGACGCAAAAGCAATTTCCCAGTAATGACTGTTACTAAGATTCTAGTTTAAATATTTCCATATAATGAGGCCTTTTTCTCACTCAACATACCCAATATTTTGTTCAGTTTTTCTCCATGGCATCAGTCGAATGTCCTTACTCTGAAACCCTGAGATATTCAAACACGTTAGGCTTTTAATATAGAAACGCCCTCACAGCTCACATGAGAAGGTCAGCGAGTGGTCAGCGGATCCGTCTGGCCAATCCACAAAGATACACTTCGTAATCGCAGACAGCCGTTTATTTCTGTACCGCTCGATGTCTTACACGTCTGCTTAATACCTTCTGATGATTTTAATATACATTTAGGCTGTGGTCCAGACACATCAGTTGAGTGGATCACACGTCTCCTGAAAATGGCACTGGAGGACCTCAGCGTTTGCCAAAATGCATTCGATCTGGTCGTTTGTAATTCCCCATTTGAGCGCAATTAATTTAGAGGGCAAAGTGTGGAAAATGTCTGTACTTAACTCTGCTGCCAAATGCGGCTAGTTTATTTATCCTGTATGACTTGAGTGGGCACTGGTTCAGCCACCCCTCATGTGGACATCCATGGGGCTCATTTAAACCATAGCGATGCCGTTTGTCGACGTTTGGGAGTTCCTATAGCCGGGTGGGGACAAAAAGTATGAGTAACTTCTTGTGTTGACTGTTATAAACACAAACTTTGTTCTGAATGTTTTTTTATTAATTAAAACAATAGCCTTAAAATATGCCTTTGTAAGGCTTGCCTTTCTGATCTGTAACTTGTGGAAGCACCTGCTTGTCACTACATAAGTTCCCTTATGTGGAGCGTTCTTGTCAAAGCTGGGCAAAAATGACATTACTGTATCAATCAATCAAATTTTAGTTATAAACCACTTTTCATACAGAAAATACACACAGTACTTTAGAGTTTGGTTAAAACAATCCCACACGCCCATTATCCCTCTACCCGACCACCCAACAGATATAGATGGATAGATACTTTATTGATCCCGTAGGAGAAATTAAGATATCTAGTTGCAGCAAAAAAAAAGGATAATTCTAGAAAGCTAACAATAGTAATAATTAGACCCACCCCAATCCACATATATTAAGTATGCATACGCACACACACATACAGTCACATCAGTAAAACCATGAAGAGAGATATAGCTGGATGCTCAACCAGCTGAAGAATGAGATGATGGAAATGTTTTGATTCTAATCTCTACTTTGATTGCCTCATACTAGTTATCACTACTAAACCCAAAATTGCTAATCTCCAAGAACTGAAGGCACCGTCCTTAGAAAGCATACAAACCGAACGTGTGTGCATGCAGTTCCCAGGTGACGTGGATGTTGGCTCAGCGGCAGCAGGAAGAGGCGCGGCAGCAGCAGGAACGAGCCATGAACTACGCCAAGCTCAGGTCCAATCTCCAGCACGCGATGTGAGTAAAGCGCTGAGGACTCATTCTGTTTGTTTGATGGCTTCTTACCACGTTCCTCACACTCAAAAACAATGATAATTCAATTTGTCATTAGGAACCGTTGCGTTGTTATATATTATTCATTCTCAGCAACCTTTTGTCTTCTCTTGTGCACCATTTGTGTACATTCACTCATCATTGATTTTGCTCATTTCAAGAATAACTTTGTACACCAGGTTTCAAAAGTAGTCATCTGAGCTTTCAACGTAAAATTACTTCTGGTGTTCAGTTAAAACATCCTAAAAAGTCCTGACTACAATAGGGCTAACACATTGTAATATTCCAACCATAATGTATATTTATTAAACATTATTATGCAGTTCCTTTCTTGTAAAAGTATAGTGTATTATTGGCATTTATTTTTATGGGAACAATTAGGGCTGGGCAATTAATCGATTTTAATCATTAATTCGAGTTTTACGTTTAGGGCGATTTCTTTTTTTTAAAATTCGATTTTTATTTTCTCCAGCGCAGAACTACAGCGCTAACCGCGGGTCTATGGTGTTGAGCAGTCATGAAGCTAACCTAATGCAAACAGTCTCCCTCTGGCCTGATGCTCGCTCTCACAGTTGGTGCTGTTGCAATAACACTTCAAACGTTCAAGAATCAGACTTTATTTAAATCGCCAGAACACACGCACGCAGGCTCCGGTCGCTATGTTCGTACGCCATGTTCGTACGCCACATCTTTCACGCTCTCTCACGCTCGTTATTCCAAAGCGCACTCCCGTGTCCGTGGCGCGCACACACTCGTGTCCCACTGAGCCGCTGCACTTTGGGGAAAGACACGTCTCACACATTGCTCTCATTGCTCTGATACAAACAACGTGTTCCCCGCTGTCTGTTAGCTACAGTAGCTGCTACAGTAGCTGTTAGCTACAGCATCAGAATGTAAACAGGAAGCTCGCACAATGCGGGAGTCACTGAAGTTAGTATTAGCGCCACCAGCTGGACCGAGCGTTGTACTACAGCACAGTTACTCAGGCACAGTTGAAAGAACAAGCATGAAAACCCGAGGAGGCTTTTGGAAAAGACTGTCTGTTACAACATTTCTATTTTGAGTAATCAGTTTTAAAAATGTGATATTTCATGTAAATAATGCATGTGTTTAATAGGATTGATATATTTGCGATGGGCTTTGTTTGTGTGATTTAAGTTATTTTGAAGGTGCATAGTGTCATTGTAAGTTAAGTTATTATAAAACTGTTAAGCTTCATTTTCACTGTTTACAATGGCAGAGCCATCTCGTTTACAAGCATGTTTTAAGGCTTAATTCCTGTTACACTTATGCTCCATGGGGATTTAGATTAAACTGCATAAAGGAAAATCTATTTCTTTGTCAGTTGTAGTTTGTTTTTAAATAGAAAAAAATAAATCGATTAAAATTGAAAATCGGATTTGGTGTGAAAAAATCGGAGATTTTTTTTTTTTGCCATATCGCCCAGCCCTAGGAACAATGTAATTAACAAGCATTTTTCATGGAAGAAACCAATAAACGCGTACATTCACATACTTCTGAGCCCTATTCTGACATGGATCACTCCTGGATGAATTTGTATATTTTTTAAGTCGGGCTGCAACAATCCAACACTATACTTTATTGGTAATTATTGATCATTAGTATATCTTTGTCTAAAAATGTGTGTAATCTCATTCTCCATCCACCATTTTATCTACTAAACTAAATATACAAGGCTGCAACTAACATTTGTTGATGACAGTTGGTTCGAGGCTTACATAAACGTGTGTCTAAAACAAATGGTCTAAAACAAGTTCATCTGTTGTGGAGTATTTTGCAAATGAAAATGGCATACCAAATCTTAACAAATCCTGTGTTGTGGCCTCAGTCGTCGAGGCACTGGTCTGATGGAGGAGGATGAGGAACCCATCGTGGAGGACGTGATGATGTCATCGGAGGGGCGAATGGACGACCTCAACGAAGGCATGGACTTCGACACCATGGACATCGATCTGGTCAGTCCTCACGGCTCGATTAGAACCTCCAAATGGGCATCGGCTAAAGAGCTGTCCCGTCGCGTGTGCAGAAGGCCACCCGTATCTCCTACATTTGTCTTGTCTGATACCATTTACATTGAGAGCAATTTTTTTGTAAACGTGATAAAATGGGGTGACTTGGATAATTTCCCCCCGAAACTAAGCAAGATTTACCATCCTTCCCAGGTTATTAGGAGCAAATAACCTCCTAATAAAAAAAAAAAAAATATATTTTTTTTTTCAAGAAAAATAAATAATACAGACGTTAAATAATTGTATATAAAGTGATGTACTTACTTCTGTTTGGCCTAAACTATGAATCACACCTGAATCATACACCCCATATGAGTCCAAAGCCACCAACTCGTGTCTAAAAATGTCAAATGCCTGTTTTTGGATTTTTGCTCTTGAGCTGAACTCCATGCAAATGTCTCCAAATGTCATGTTTATCCGGCTAGAAAATTAAGCCACGCTAAAGTATTTCCTAATTTAGAGCTTTCATTACATGCCTGATAAAGTCTTCACAGTGAAATGGTTCAAATTAAACCTTTTTTTTTATCGGTCTCATCTTTTTTCCAGCCTCCCTCTAAGAACCGGCGCGAGAGGTCAGAGCTCAAGCCAGATTATTTTGATCCTGCCTCTATCATGGACGAGTCGGTAAGTGGCTTTCACTGTTTGGTTTCTTTAAAACACTGGCCGATGCACAGGACCTAAAACTTTCTTAAACATATTAAGGCCTCATTTTACGTTGCTTCTCCGACAGCACCAGCACTCAAAAGTTCTGTTGTCTACTTGTGTGTTACATTGTGTACACTACTTTACTCAAATGAGAGCCGGTTTTACTCCAAAATAGTCAAAAACGTAAAATTAGGGTGTATTCAGACCTGAAAAGTCCTTTGCTCCGCTTGCTTGATCCGAATCAAAAGCGGACCAAACTTTTTTCTTTTGCTCCGGTTCGTATTCAGACTGTCCTTTTTGCAAGTGAACTTTTTTATATAAACATATTGACACGTGTGACGATCTGCGCTCCTATTGGACAGCGAGAGCTCTCGGAGGATAGACGCGGAACCGGAGGAAAACATTGAGGGCTCGTATGTGCAGCATGTCTGCTCTGCCTATGTTTGCTCTTTTTAGAGCAAAACCACCTTCAACATCAACAGCAGCTCATATGACGCAGGCGAAACACGTTGTTTTAAATATTGGAACAGTGTTGGAGAAGGCGTGAGGAGAAAGCCGAAGGAGACTGTCTGTGCGCTCCGTGTCCTGTCCTGTCCCACACACGGATCTATTATAATAACGGCCCTGTTCAGCATTGTGGATAAACCATGGATCTATAATAACCACGGGACAAACAGACGCTGAGGATCAGGTAGGAACTAAAGAACACAATTCACTACATGATGCGGAATATTGCTCTTTGAGACGTGAGTCAAACAGTGTCAGGCTTTTAATAATGCAAATGGTTTGAAGATGCTGCCATTAACATCAATGTGAACTGTGAACAGTTGTAACTCCATAAGCCTGTTGCACAGCGTCTCCTCACTGCTCCAGGTCTGCACACGGCTCAGTGTTGTTGTGTAGCATTAGCAGCAGAGTTAGCATCATAGTTAGCCGCTGCGTGGCTAATTCCTCAGTTTCTGTCTGCGGCTTGTTAAGCCCAAAAAATGCGCACGTATCTTGGAGTTGTGTCGGATCGACACCGGATGTATTCAGACCTGATTCGACTTGGACCAGAATTCGTTTGGAAGCGGACCGAGACCACCTCAAAAAGTGGGTCTCGGTCCGGTTCTTTGGTCCGGACTAGGATTCGTGTGTGTGTATTCAGACCTGCATAAAAGATTCGGATCAGAGTTCCAAACAAATCCTGGTCCGTTTAAAGTGGAGCAAATGTGCAGGTCTGAATACACCCTTAGACTCATTCTGTGTTCTTAATGTTGGCTTGGACTGCCGCTAAATATTTCACTACTTTAATTATTTGCCTCATTGAATTCATAAGCACTTTTCACAACTTCCAGATACCAGTCAGTTTGTAAAATAACTCAAAGTTATGGGTGGATTTTTATGGAATTTTGAATCGGGACATGGAAGAAATCCAAGAGTGTTTTTTTTTCATGGAATGGAACTGCACCTCTTTGCGGAAATTGCGCTCTTGCGCTTTTCCAATTTGAGTCTTTTTTGTTTGGTCTGCAGACTATGCAACTGCTACTGATAGGGTTTTTTGTGATGAAAAAGTAGAGTAATGGGGCTGCAAGACAGTGGGTGATCTTGCAGCCCCATTACTACAAAATTGCCGAGATATCTGGTCATTACGCTTTTTGTCCAAATGTAGAATACTTTTTATCATTGTTCCTGAAAGTTCACGAATCAAACTCTCAATATCTCGCTGGGAGATTTCTCAAAATGAAAGACTCTCATGTTCGGGGGTTAAAAATTTCTCTTGCAAACAGGAACACTCTGTAATATCTTGATCTTTTGATATTTTGAAATGACTTGTACCCTCCTTCTTAGGCAAAACGTTATTAAATGCATACTTTGAATCAGAAGGCACACTAGCGTCTTGTACGGACACCATTCCAACAGAAGTAAAATATTTTTGTAACATCCTCAGGTTTGTATTCAAAAACCCACAGGCCCAGTTGTCCTTGATAGATAAATGATAACGTTATACTAAATCTCAAGGCGAAATCCTGCCGAAGCCATACGCGTTCATTTCCCACAAATGGCAAGAGACGTTTATTCGCTCCATCAAATATTTTGCGGCGGTGAAACTGGTCCCAGGTCACGTTAAGGTAAGACTGTGTGGCCTGTGCCGACTCGCCCCGCTCCTCCTTCAGCTTGCAGCCGTATGTAAACAATCATAATACTCCTGATGAAACGTGAAGAGGTCGCCTCGAGGTGACCGGAGGAAGCGTTTTAAGCTGCGCTCCACGTCCGCGGGCGCCAACCTGTCGCCGTGACCTCGTCAGAAAGCGCCTTTTTAGCATGCGCGCCGGGCCGAGACGTGTCCGGAGCTTTATGGAACTGGAGCTTGGCCTCAACATCGTGTCCTCCGCCGGACGCTTCCAGGGTCAATGTTTATACTCTGGCACTCCTCGTTACGTCCAATTACGTAGTTTTTGTAGTCGCACTATCTAGAAAGGCAATGCTGCATATTCTCATTTTGTAGAAGAATCTCATGGCCTGTGTTTGGAGATTCAAAAATAAACAGTGGAACCCCCGAAATCGAGTAATGACAATGTTTCACACAACAGTTCATTGTCCTCCTGAAGATAAAGGTAATCGTACAAGGGAGATAAATCGGTGTGTAATTTAGATCCATCCAAACTAGGCCAGTGTGCGTTCTTTTTCAAAACTAGGACTTAAAAAAGACAGAAAAGGGGGCCAACGTTGGATGAGGAGAAATGTGTATAGTATTAAAAGTAAATTGGAGTTTTAAAATTAGATTACTATTGATTTTATATAATAATACAACCACCATAGTGTAATAGGGTAAAATGGCATGGATTTTGAAATGTTGCCAGATGTTAGAAGCTTCAACTCAAATTCGTCCTTATCTGTTCTGTATGGAGGACCAAAAATGACTAAAGTATAAATAAATAAATACAGGAATAATATTAATATTTACATTCATTTTGGACCATAAAAACTAAATATTCACATTGATGTGTTAAATATTACTATGAAATCAAATAAATATACTTTTATTTAGGTTATTTATGAAAATCTAAATTTTTTCCTTTATTTATATATCCATTTATTGCATATATTTATTTATCTATTTCTACATTTCTTCATTTATTTATTTATGTATTTCTACATTTCTTCATTTATTTATTTATGTATTTCTGTGTCGCTACATTTCTTCATTTATTTATTTATGTATTTCTACATTTCTTCATTTATTTATGTATTTCTACATTTCTTCATTTATTTATTTATGTATTTCTACATTTCTTCATTTATTTATTTATGTATTTCTACATTTCTTCATTTATTTATTTATGTATTTCTGTGTTGCCGTATGCTAATTAGGCGGGCGGTGCTGAACTCAATCTAGAACAGGATTGGTGGGCAGTAGGTCAGCCAGGGCAACCAGACAGAAGCAAAGTTAAGCCTAGCGTACATCGACAGAGAAACTGGAGACAAGTTGCAAGGCGGCTTTTGGCGACTGAGAGTAGATGATGGAGATGATCAGTTGAAATAGGTCGATGTGCGCGCTCTTACAACTGGAGATAAACAGTCGGTCTCCAGTTTCAGTCAGTTGCCCGTGTTCTACTTTTCGGCAACTAGTTGTCCTCAGTTTCGGAGACATGACCCGATGTGCGCGCTCCATGTGCCGCTCCGACAACGTGTGTGTATTGCGTGTATTGCGAGCCCGCAACAGTTTATGTCAGAAAACACACTGTAGTTGAGGCCAGTTGCTGTCGATGTACGCGCTGTTATTCCCGAGACTGGTCTGCTACTGGGAGTTGCCCGTTTTTGTCAGATTGTCGATGTGTGCGGGGCAGCAACTCATATGCGACGGATATAATCAGTTGCCAGTCCGATGTACGCTAGGCTTTAGCCTTCTCGGTTTGTGAGAGGATGTGAAGCTGCTGTATAGCTTGTTGAAGAGCGTCCAGCACAGTTGCATCAAAGTCTACCTCTGGGTCAGCACTGTGATGAACTAAAACATTTAATAGTCTTTCCAGCCAAAAGAGTAGATAGTCCTCAGGTGCATTATGCTCAACATCATTAACATCATTTGCTAATGCTCTTAATTGATGAGCAATGGCTCCTAAACATTACATTCGAAACTGCCATCATACCACACAAAAGTGCAGAGAGGATCTCTAGCTAGCTAGCAGAGTACCGTAATGTGAGGCAGTAATGATCGAGACCAGAGTTCACGCAATCCTAACCAATCCTGTTCTAGATTGAGTTCAGCACCGCCCACCTAATTAGCATACAGGAACACAAAAATACATAAATAAATGAAGAAATGTAGCGACACAGAAATACATAAATAAATAAATGAAGAAATGTAGAAATACACAAATAAATAAATGAAGAAATGCAGCGACACAGAAATACATAAATAAATAAATGAAGAAATGTAGAAATACATAAATATATGCAATAAATGGATAAATAAATAAAGGAAAAAATGTAGATTTTGATAAATAACCTAAATAAAAGTATATTTATTTGATTTCAGAGTAATATTTAGCATATCAATGTAAATATTTAGTTTTTATTGTCCAAAATGAATGTATTTATTAATATACTCCTGTATTTATTTATTTATTTATTTATACTTTAGTCATTTTTGGTCCTCCATAGTTCTGTGTCACTGAATGTTGTGGTGCTTATGATAAAGGCATCATGAAGGTGCACACGAACCATGGTGTAACTGGTCTCCATCCATTTAAAGGTGGGGTGCCTAACTTTTGGTTCATAAATGATGAGTTGTGGTTGTCCTAGCAAAGTGTAAATTGGACCGCTACGTGTTTCTTTAGAAAACTTGTTAGACAGAATTTTGTTTTTGTTTTTTTTTTTTTTTGAAAAGTAGCTACCCCTGCTTTAACCTGTTATTATTTATACACTGTTGTCCCCTTTTGAAGTGAATGTGACTAATCCCACCATGTTTCTTCTGCTCTCTCCAGGTCCTCGGAGTCTCCATGTTTTAAGCTAAATATCCAGATGATTTTGACGCTGGAGAAGAGAGAAGAGGAGCTTTGTATTTAAAGAGAATTTTAGATGCGAAGACCGAAGTGTTTTCTGTTTAAAAAAAAAAAAAAGAAAAGGAAAAAAAAAAAAACTAAAAATTGCAAAATATGAAATCAAAAACTAAATCTGGCTTGTTCTCCACGTGGACCAACGACAACCCACACTCAGTGTTGCTTGCTCAAAGAGGACTTTGTTTCAAATATTTTACTTTTTATAATCTTGGGTAAGCTCTTCCTGTCTGAGAATAGTGTAACAGGCCACTTCCAAAAACCTATTTAGAAATGTGTCTGAAGAAATATCCATAGACTTTTTTTTTTTTTTTTTTTTTCTCTCTTCCAGATTTTTTAATGGGGATGAATTGGTGTGTTTTAACTTAAGAAACATTTTTTTTGTTTTATGTCTAACCCTTTTTACAATTGTAGTAAGTTACCAGGTGTGAAGTAGTAATTTATAAACAGACTGTAGTAGCTTGCTTGTATACTGTGTTAGCCAAGTGGACGGAGGTCTTCAGTTTCTGTGCTCCCCTTTGCGCCTCCCGATCTCTTCACTCGAGTCCCGTGCTGTTGGGTCTTCGTCGAAGTCCCCCTCTCCCCTGAAAAACCACTGTTGGTCTGGAAAAGGCAAAATCTCAAACAAGGACGTACTATCCTTTTTATATGCTGTGAAGAGTGTATTTAAAACAGAACTCAGTCACAACCAATAGTCTTCTTTTCTAACATTTCACAAAGTGGTCTAGTAAGTTCTTTCAACCGGGAGTCGAATCATCTTACAGGCATCGCTTTGATTTTTTTATTTCTCCTCCTTCTACCTTCTACCTATACAAATCTATGTCCAACAAGCCAATTTGATTCATAAAAATGCAAGTGCAGGGATCAAACTAGAACTAGTGTGAGAAGTCGGATGTTGAAAAATTATATTGAGGACAAAGGAAAAGAGGAATTTTATTTCAAAATCGGAGCCTCGGACCCTTCCTATTTTTATGCCAATTTGGGTTTCGAAGGCTGCATAAACCATGTAGGAAAAGGACATTTTAACAACACATTATGCACGTACACATATGTAATGTATTCAATGTCACTGAGTTCTGTTTCAAATCTCAATATTTCTCAACCTTAGCCACAAATTTAAACAAATTACCCAGCGTAAAATCTCTTACTCAAAGATCCAGCAGCATCATGTTGAATGGCTATCTCTACATTTTAAATAAAAGTTATATATGGATCGGTGCTGAATTTATATATGTGCTTTTCTTTTTTTCTTTTTTTTACTCCTCAAAACTTCAGTCACAAATTTTTGCGAAACGTGTAAGTAACTAAACTGAGAGCATGTGTTAATAGCCGTGCGATTAAGGAAGATTTTTAAATTTGTATTTTAATGTAATATGTTCATTTCTTTTTTTTTTGTCTTGATAATGTCTTTGGATTTCTACCTTTTTTCCTACATGTAAATTAGTTTGGTATCTAATGAAGCGACTTGTGAAAAAAAAAAAATCAGCTTTAAAAAGGGTCTTCTCGACATGAAATCCCATCATGAATATGCGTAGATCTCAAATATTACATTTACGATATAACAAGGTAGTCACTCGGACAATACTGAAGATATAAGAGTTATTCATTACCGCCGTGGCAGCTAGACAAGACGTAGATTTTGGCATATATTTGTCACTCGTTTATTGAACTGTTTTGTCTACTGACGTTTCTTTTGTAGTCATTCCATGCTTAAGCCTTAAACATGCGCACGGAGGTCACCTATCTTATCCCACAATAACCTTCCATGTCTTGAGATCGTCATGTTTTTAAGGTGGATTGAAAAAATTTGGCTTTTAGGAAATCCATAGGTTGTGTTTTCATGACATTGTGTTTGTATAAGCAGATGGAGGGCAGGTGCCTATATAACACTAAAACATTTTTAATCGCCAAATTGTACGCATTTTAAGCCTTTTTGAAATGATGGAATTTGATTGTTAACGCCATATTAATACTGAGGCTTGCAGTACCCAATAATCAGTCGTCCAATTGTTCAGGGAATCTCATGTCACCTTAAGTTGAATGCAATTTTAGTCATATATATATATACACACATATATACACGTCACAAACCAGGTCAAAATATTTTATATAGTACAGTACATTTTGATTCCTGCCCTCCACCTCAATTTTAAAACTATGGGCAGTTTGAAATGTTGTGATGTCACGTGAACCCAACCTATCAAGAGCTGGTCCGATATGTGATAGAACAGCCTATATGTGTTTGCCTAATTATTTTATGTAAGTAAAATGAAAATTCTTTTAAAGGACAAAAGTACTGTTTATTGTTTGTTACTTACCACTACATTGGTATAAAATCCTTATTAGATCATGTGTATATATTCAAATTTTAATTTTTCGTTTTTTTTTTTTTTTTTCTCCGTTTTGCCATTTCTATGTTTTGTTCCTGCACTCTTGCCTACACTCTAAGTTGATGTCTATTATCCCATCCTCTTTCGGTCACTGTTTCTTCTGCTTTGTACTTGTCTGGAGACAGTAACTTTTGAATAAAAATCAACACATTTCATTTGGTAGTTACACTTTAATGACCACTGGGATTGTATTGTAGAAAATGGGCCGCCAGACTTGTCAAGGCACAGTTTCATGTTTTATTGCACTCGTGGATAATCATTACGGGTGAGATCGAGTTCAAGGAGAGGAGGGACCTGAAGCTACCAGGGCTGTCATTCACTGGGCTGACACCAGGGGGCGGGCTAGTCCTACAGATGGTCTTTTTTGCATCTGGACCTTACACTGTATGAAGTGGACTTGCCTGAACATATCACAAACACTGTTAGTGACTCAAAACTCGGAAAGAATATGATAAAACTAACTGAAAATTGTATTATGCCTTTCTACAATAACTTTTCTAATAGTTATTTGTATTTGGAGTTGAATATTTGGAGTTCACTTTGTGTGTGGTCTGGATTGAAGAGGAGAACTTGGATCCAGTTTTTGCTTGTCAAACACCAGACAAATGTTAGTTTATGTTGCACAGTTCATACACAAGGCGACTCAGTGTTGACAAAACAAAGAAAACATAAAAATGTAGTTAAACTATCATTGTAAACGTCTTCCAAAAGATCCATAACTTTTATTTTAATTTTAGTCTTCGTACATAAACACATATTTTTGTCTGTATTTTATGAAGGTAATCCCCACTCATTCTTATATCCTTTAGTGTGAACTTTCTAGGGGTTGCAGAGATTCTAAGGCCTTGAATCAAAATATTTAAACTTTATTCAACAAATTTCTGGAATTATAGATTTACACTACTAATTACGATTATTTTTTTTGTTTTAAATAATGAAGACATAATGTTCATTTATACAAAGAAATTCAGAAAAAATACTCAACAATGACATTAAACATGATTTTTTTAGAACCATATACTCGCTGAGGACATTTCTCAACACTATAATATGGCTAAAGTACACAAACTGACGTGAAGCTTCAGGAGGACACTCAACCAAACCTGGTTTAATAAAGATGCTCAACCTCTTTTACATAATCCTGTGTGAGTGCACCTTTCTATCACCTAAACACACATCCTTCTTGTTGCATTTGTACGACAGCTCTAATGATTGCACTGCCTATCAAATGCTCCATAAGTATCCTATCTGTATGAGGACAATGAGCTCTCTGATGAAATGCAGACGCAGGCGGCGGCTGGAGCAGTGGTGAGTGCCTGCTTAATAGTGATGCATGTGGATCTATGCAGGTAGATTTGAAAAAAACCTCTTCAAGTCTCTTCAGTGCAGGAGCGGGTCATCTATCATTGTCACACACAGTTACTATTATCTCATAAGTTGTCAGGGCTTTTGTAACACGCTATCATCTGTGTTTATGCTGAAAACAAGCCGATTTATTCAAGTGTACAGCTGTTGTCAAAGCCTTTTCATGAAACGTGAGACAGTGGCCATATGGGAAGCTGGACTTGGACAGCTCTTCAAATTGGAAAGTGAATATATCCAACTAACCAAAGAAGAGGAATAAATGTTCTGTCTTTTTGCACAGATTGTCAGTATGCATCAAAAGAATAACAAACTTTTGCAGATTGTCAGGAAGTCTGTTGAAAGAGTTCTGCCGTTCTTAAAATCCTGACTTCATTATTTTAATACCAGATGTAATTCTTGTATCGCCACAAGAACACATTTTGCTTTTGGGGGTAAAATCAAAGTGTTTTATTGTACTTTTTAATGTAGTTAACAATTCCACAAGCCTTAGAAGTTTCCACCCCCCCAGTTCTCAATAGTGTGTATTTCCCTTTAACATCTGTGACAGCTTGGAGTCTTTTGTGGTAGTTGTGGATGAGGTTCTTAATCTCCTCGGATAGTAAATCTGTCCATATTTGGAAAAGAATCCTGTTCCATTGAAATCCTGGGTTGCTTTGCATGAACTAAACATTGCTACTAAAGCTAGTTTTCTTCCGTAGTCCCAGAGCAGAGGCAACGTGACCACAGGTTTACACTGTGTAAAGAATTAATACATACTAAATGCATAAAGTGAATTTAATTTAGCATTGTATTATAAAAACATTGTCAAAACAATTAAACTCTTTAAACTCAGCGTTCACACTAAATACACTCAGTTGAGGAGCCACATTTACACACGAGTCCTGGTTTGATGTTTCATATTACAACACGGTGGTTGAGTGGATAGTACTCTCTCCAAGCAAGAGTGGAGTTTGCATGTTCTCCCCATGTCTGCATTGGTTTCCTCCAGGCGCTCCAGTTTCCCCTACCCCTAAAAACATGTACAAAAGGTAAAATCCTCCAGCTCTGGTAGTCCTGACCAAGCCGAGTACCAACGCCTGAAGATGGGTTCCTGGGCGCTGTTACTACGGCGACCACTGCTCCTGATGGAAACCTTATCGGCATCAGGATGGGTCAAATGCAGAGGACAAATTTCCCTATGGGGACAATAAAGTGTGT